CGAGTGTACTATTGGCCCAAAATACGTGAGGATGTGGAGTCTTATGTTCAAAGTTGTGTTGTTTCTCAACAAAACAAGGCAAGTAATGAAAAACCAACGGGTTTATTACAACCTCTTCCTATTCCCGAACAACGGTGGGAACATGTCACCATGGATCTTGTATGTGAGTTACCAAGGACTTTGTTAGGACATGATTCAGTGGTGATTTTTGTGGACAAATTGAGCAAGATGATTCACATCAAGCCAACCACAAAAACAGTAACAGCTCCACAACTAGATCAATTGTATCTAGATGCAGTTTTTGTGAATCATGGCTTAAGCAAAGTGTTAATCACGGATAGAGTTACTCACTTCACTAGTTTATTTTGGAAAACTTTGTTTAGTTTTTTCAAAACAAAACTAGCAATGTCAATGGCCTATCACCCTCAAACTGATGGACAAACTGAGAGGGCAAATAGAACCATAGAGGATATGCTACGAGCATTCACATTAGAAGAGCAAGAAGAGTGAGACAACCTTTTGCCACTTGTGGAATTTGCATATAACAATTCTGTTAATGCATCCACAAAAGTGACTCCATTTTTTCTTATGTATGGAGCTCATTATATAACTCCTTCAAGTTTGATGAAACTTCCCAAAGGAGAGGAGTTTTTTATCAAAGTTGCAGCAGTCAACGAATTTCTGGAGCATATTCACCGAGGACTACATCGGGCCAAGGAAAAGTTGGTGATAGCTCAAAATCGGCAAAAGCAGCATGCCGATGCTCATCGTAGACAAGTGATTTTTGAGGTTGGAGATCATGTTTGGTTATCTACAACGAATTTGTCTCTTGTAGGAACACCAAAGTTAAACCCTAGGTTCATTGGTCCATTTTTGGTTTTGAAGCGTGTTGGTGAAGTGTCATACAAGTTGGAACTTCCGTCACATATGAAAATACATTCAGTATTTCATGTGTCACGATTGCGAAAACATGTACCACGACCAAAACAATTCACCAACCAACCAGCACCACCTCCTCTTCCAACCTTGATAGCAGATCATTAGGAGTTTGAGGTAGAAAAGATACTTAAGAAACGTATTCGAGGTCATAAATATCCCAAAGTAGAGTATTTGATTTAATGGAAAGGCTATCCATCGTATGAATCAACTTGGAAACCAGCTAAAAATTTAGCAAATGCACCTTTGATAGTTCAGGAGTTTGAACGTATGTGCAACGAGGACGTTGCATCTTAAAAGGAGAGAGGTTTGTAACCATCTTTAGTTAGTTAGAACTAAAGTAGATGTTACTCTAAATATTGATGTAGATACTTTAGTGTGCACTAGTCATAGCTGCCACGTCAGCAATCCGCGCACTTGGTAGGTACACAGTGGATGTGTTAGTTGACAGTGCCACGTCAGCAATCCTTGTGCTTGTAGGTAAGGATTGAGTGTGTTAGTTGGGTGCGCCACGTCAGCGATCCGTGTTCTTGTGAGGGTTATCCGCCACGTCATCCATCCACTAGGAGTGGGATGGATGGTGGGGATTAGATCTTATTTCCTTAAACTTGTTGGTGAGAGCTATATAAGGGAGAGTAGAACCATTGTTGGTATCGCTCATCTTCAGAGTTTACGTTTCTATCTTCAAGTGAGCTTCTCTCTAAACCCTAGTGTTACACATGGAGAGAATAGAGTGTGAAGAGGTTGAAAAATAAGTTCTAAAAAATATAGATCGTAAATAAACTTGTCTCGAGGCCTAAATAATTCCACAAAGCGAAGAAAATGCGATGTTGGAAAAAGTTAATGGTTGGGAGCTCATGAAATGAGTAAAAAGCAAACCCAACTCATTGTTACATATGCAATTGGAAAATTTTTTATCAATGAGTGTTACTATAAGGTTAGGTTTGATGGTGATGAAGTATGTGAGTGAAAAATTTGAATTGTCAAACGGACAAACTGAAGTGATAAAAATAATATCACGAAGTGTAGTATTATCCATAGGGAGATACAAGAAGAGCATTGAATAGAAAGTAATTCGACTAATTCGCTATAATGTCATACTTAGAATGGCATGGATGAAGCAATATAATTTGATTGTACATTGGAGAAAAAAAAAGTGATTATAAGGAAGAGTTGGAATATCTATGGAGATAAATTAGACTTTTAATAGGAATTTATTATTCTTTGTGATGTATAAAACATTCATTTCTAGAAATTATGCATATTTTTTTGATTTATAATAGATATTGGATCCAAATACTCGCTTTACATTCCAGAGTTCTTGAACGACATTTTTATGGAATATAAAGATGTTTTTTTAGATGATTTATTTGTATTATTATCACTAAAGAGTTGAATAGATCACAGGATTGAGATGATATCTAAATACAACAACTTGCAAAGTTCTATATTGTTTAGTTCCAAGAAAATTAGAAGAATACAAAACTCTAATGAAATGTATGTTGAGCAATGAGCTCATTCAACCAAGTGTTTCTCTTTATGGAGCTCCAATGCTCTGTGTGAAAAAAAAATGATGAGACAATACGGAGATGACTTCTTCATAGCTACACGTGGCCCCGTGTCTGATGCTAAAGCCATTCGTCAGGAATGCGAAACGGATCCATGATATTATACATAGATTACCAAAGATTGAATTAATAAATAATAAAATAAATATCCATTATCTCGTATGAAAGATTTGTTTAATCAACTTCAAATAACAATATATTTCATCAAACATAGAAATAAATTTTATTCTTGTAAATCGATATTTAGGTTCAAATTATCATACCATTATAACTTGTGTGATAAATATTGATAACTTGACAAATATGTGATGATAATTATATTTTAAGTACTTGACTAGCTAGTGACAGATACCAACTCTTTGCTTTTATAACTTTGAAGTTACAAATATACACATTACACAAACATACACATTGAGTGAATAAATTTACAATGAATAGTATCAAATAAAACGTTACATACTCTTTGGGTTATTGTATAGTATGATGTACACAATATGATTACATTGTCTAATTATGTGTAGAACAATGTAACCACATTGTTCTATATATAATTAAATGATGCCACTTTACATAGCTTGATCTAAAGAAGCTTATGTGGTTGCATCGATGTAGACAGCATTTAAATATTCAAGGTTATATTTTAGTATCATCCAAAGACTGGTTTTATTGATCAAGGTTATACTTTAGTATCATCCAAAGAATGTGGTTTTATTGGTCTACAAAGCAGAAAATGATGCAATCCACAATAGAATGACCATGCTAGATAATGCTTATTAGTATGATTTCGTTGATTTTCCGAAGTTTAGATATTACAGGTCAGCAGGATATTGTTCCATTTGCTATTGGGGTAGCCTTACGTGTATACCTGCATTCTTGTAGGGCTCAACGGGGTTTGTTTGTTCTTTTCATGTTTCCCTTTCTAAGATAGTGTACATGCATTACACTTTTGACCAAACAAGAGCATCACCATAGCACTGCGCATTCTGTCCCCTGGGCAATTATAGGGATCAGTACGAGGAAAGTACGCGCAGCTCATTAAGACGAAGAACTCGAAAAAGAACTAACCTTACCTCTTATCCACAGTGTATAGTCTACTAGCTTCGGTTGAGAAGGCCTTAGCTTGGCTTTGAGATATGGGACTGTGTTCCATTCTTCCACCATTCCCGCTTGTCTGTAATAAACTGTATAGACTTGAGCGTCTTATCCGTACGTTCAAACCCGAACAAGTAGTTATATTCTGTACATAGTAGAACTGCATGAACGGGTATTTCTTGCGAATAAAACTTGCTTGTAAAGATTGTGCGTTCTTAAGCACTCGTGACAAAGGACAACAACAAGAAGAGCCAGACACTGCAGCACATTCCACGTCTGAGAATATGGAAACCTAGTCTACGGCACTTGTTTTGCCGCTTTCTCGACAATATTGACTTCACCACAACAGTTGGAAAGTACCACCTCCGTGACTAGTCGCATTCAACAGCTGTTCATCCTTCGAAAACTTACTCATGTTTAGTTTCTCAATCTGAACTAAACATGTACCAACTTCCCTATTATTGTGCCGACCGCAGTTTCAGCAGCGAATTCGGTTTTGGAACTTATCAGCCTGTTGACTCCAGTCGCATTCGTAGGTAAAATGAAAGAAATAGTTGAAGTAGTCAATTGAAGGAGGTGGTGGTGTTTAGTGAGGTCGTATGGCGACGCTGTTCCTACTTGCATCGAAAAATCCGATGTCAAGTGTCTTCTACTTAGTTATAACAAACGATCTTCACGGCTTAATGATCAACTAAAGCCTGATAAGGATTCGAGCCCAGAAAGAACTTCCCTCTGATCTTGCCTTCGAATGACGATGATCACAGCTGTAGTAACATATGACAGATAATCCGGTTGTATTGCCAAAAACCGTTGATATATATTATATATCAACGGAAACTCCGTACAGTAACAGTTCCAGTGGAGGCTTCATTGCAAACCAACATTCACCTCATGAAGTAATATGGCAGCTGTTGGACTAATGATGGACTTTGATCTGCCCATCTGACAACGAACAGCTAACGAAGCGCTTCTGACACCATCTCACAGAATGTTACAGAACACTAATCTACACGACGCAAAGATCAAGCGGTCGTACACATTAAGGGTTAGTGCTGGACAAAACCTCCAATTGGTCCTGAAGTTAAATAAAATAACCCCTGCCTGTAGGTCAAACAGCAGATTTTCAGGAAATCAACACACAGAGATCCAAAGAGCCACAATGGTCCTTCTTTGAACATCGCACGAAATATGTTACACGTTAAAGTTTAGCTACAGAACCTGCAAGTAAAAGAAAATACGTGACATATATGGAGCTTCCATCATTTCTTGCGTAAATTTCACGGCAAACAAATTATTATATGGATCGCGGAATAGAATCTTCGTCTAGAAAAAGGATGAACTGTCAACATTAAATATACACCTTCGTAAACAAATGACCTACCTCTTTAAGCAGGTACTTGGACAAAAAAACATCCACATTATCGACCAACAACGAACAAAAGGTGAATCTTGATCTTCCGAAGGGACTGATGCTTCAAAACACAGATCAGATCTTTACACTTTCGTTTATCATTACAAACTGATGGACAATTTCATCAATACACCCTTCCGTTTAGAGTACTGGCTAACTAGCTGGCTAGCTAGCTGGCGCTATTATCCTGTTCGAGTGGGACATTCATGGCACTTCGATACTTTGAAATATTTTTTTAAGTGTGCCACTGAGGGAAGGCTTTCGCTTGGTGTGAAAAGAAACTCACATGAAATTGATCATTGCTCAGAACTTCCACAGAAGAGCATCGATCCTCCTGCAGGTAATCAAGAATGAGAGAAACGAACAGGAACTCTTGAATCTAAACCCCACTTCGCGTGGGCTACTTACTCGTCAGCCCAGAACACCTTTCAAAATGATTTCATGCTTTCAAGTGGTTGCTTCCACAAGACAAATTGGACTAGAATACACCAGGAGTGGGCCTGTAGAGCTCTCAAATAATGGAGAAGAGAACCACCTGACAAAAAATTAACAGAGGCTTCAGATTGTCACATTTCCGCTTCTACATAAGGTTCAAAAGACCCATTATAGCAAATTACAAATGCGAATACCAGATGAAATGCACTGATTTCGATAAAATCGGAAGTGCTTAAGGTCGATTGGGGATAAAAACATCTTTCACCTAAAACCAGCTCAAGGTCAGTACAGATTATCACATCTTCACTTTGGCTCACCTTCAGTGAATGCACTCACACATTTGAAAATACATTCACAGAATCCGCAATTCCGTTAGAAAAGAAGCACAAAGGTCGAGGAAGAGCAGGTATGGTCCTTCTACTCTCTGTAAATCCAGCAAATATTTCTCTTCTCTCACTTTGTACAACTGCAAACAGGGCAAACAAGGAGAGACATGTATCAGAAGACGTGTCAACAGAAATCCACTCATAAGTAGGATAGATCAATCTGACACTCCCTCAAAACATAATTTGTTCCTTCTTTTTTTATTACCTGGACTTCGAACTTAACAACATTTTGCTCTTCTCCGCCTTGACTATCTTCTGTTTCCTCACTCCCTTCGGTGGAGGCATTTCTCTCCAATTCTCCACCTGGCTGAAGAGTACTACTAGCAAGCATTGGTGAATTGGGAAGACTGCTGAGAGAGCCTGAGACCATCGGCGAGTCGGAATTTGATCTACATGCTTGAGAGGCACCCGCAGGATGAGGTGGTACCCATCTACACTTCACACTGTAGTGGCCCAGTTTTTTCCAGCAGATTTCAAGCTCATGCAATGCTTTCAAAACCTCCATCATTATTTCCCTTGGAGCCGCACGAGACTACACAGCCAAAGTTACAAAGAAGGAAAGATAAGAGCTTGTACAAATAAAAGAAAGACATGAAGAAACACCAAATTTACATGTGCAAATTCAGGTAACATGCAGATGACCTGGATTGTCTTGCTCCCGTCGACACAAAGCGTTACTCATTCTAACATTTCGTCCTGGATCCCCACCGTATGCACGTCACATGAGCTGATATTCCCATACCTTAACTGTACTAAGCTACACATTCATGCATACCTACTGTATTACTTTCACAAGCTCATAAAAGACGAGCATATGGGGGATCTTTGCACCTGAAGACCAAGAGCCCATTTCCGCTCGGCAACCACTCTACCCTGGAGGTTGGACGGTGATAAATGCCGATTCACTGCTCCTGGAGGGAACCGAGGAGCTGCAGGTCTGCCCATAGGTGAAGGCACCATTGCATCCATGTGTGATCCTTGAGATTCCTGGCAACAGATGAATCAAGTGATACCGATGACTAATGCCCAAAAGTTGACCCGCATCCAACTGAGAATTGCCATGGATTGGTCCTCTACAAGCATTACCAACACAAATTGGCATTCGACTAGGAAAATATTGCCTGGGACGCGAGCCGTAAGAAAGCGACAAGTCTATGAAGGTTGACCACATCCAGATCAACTGAGAAGATAAACCGAAGACAACAGTGCTTCCAACTGCATCCACACTTACCCGCCCTTCGTGAAAATCTGCTCCAAGATAACCATTAGAAATTCGGCGTCTATTGTCCAACATCAGGTAATATGCCACGGTTGCCTGTATATAATAGTAAAATCAGTGACAAACTGGAGGCAACTTTGTAATACAAGTTTGTACAGATGCGTTCTTTCAGACACTAGGACAAACCCAGCTGGATGCAATAGAGTCAAGGTACCAATTGAGAGAGTACGCCATACCTTGTTTTGTAATCTGTTTCGCAAAGAATCGCACAACTGAATTTTGTCGAACCCCATCCTTACGACTTCTAGCAGTATATCTTCGTCAATCTATACAACGGAACCGCGTGTCAGTACTTTTACTGTGGATCCTTTTAAAAGTCCTCTGATCCTCTGAGAACAATCAGATTTCATGGTCATCATACTTATTACAATCAAATCAAATTTTACCAAACAAAGTATGATAACACCTTTCAAGGTTACTGAAAATCATTCACCAACTATTCATCGTTCATTAAATATATGTCACAGTCTGAACAGCATGCTCGTTGACTTCGATGTCCAAAAACAATGTCTTGGATACATTGGTTAAGAACACGCCACAAGATAAGTTACCAGCACTCCTGATCCTCACCCGCTTAGCTTGTTGGATTGTGTCAGGGGGAGGAACAGCTAGATAACGAGGGAGGTGTGCTTGAAACCAAGGATGTTGCCTGATCTCTGGAATAGTAACCCGCTTCATGGGATCAACAAGAAGCATCCGAGGAATAAGGTCTCTTGCTCCAGGGGACAGATGGCTCGGAAGCGTGTATATTCCCCCCTGTCAGTAAGACATATGAAGACAACGTCAATTCATTAAAAGACGGGTAAAAGGACAAGCAACTGAGGTACATTCACTTGAAAGTCCATCAATCCTAACTGTTCAAAATGAGAAGATAAATTACGAACTTCAATCAGCCCGACCTCTTTTAACCATGAACACCTGGCCAAAGAGTCGACTGGTACCTTGATTTTCTTGAAAAGATTAGGTATGTTCTCGTCGTCGAAAGGAAGGCTTCCACAAAGAAGTGCATACAGAATGACGCCACAACTCCATACATCTACTTCGGGGCCAGCATACAGCTTTCCAGATATGACCTGGGAACCATAAGTAGAGAATGAACATTAACGAAGAAAGAAAATTTCTGAAAATACATGGAAGCCACGTTGTTGCCCACTAAAATTCTTACAACGACTATAAGAGCCATCCGTTCGTGACAGCCTTGCGTCCAGACATGCAGATAAGTCACTAGTACAAAGTTGAAGAAAGTATGAATGAAGGACATACCTCAGGAGCAGCATAATTTGGACTTCCACAACTTGTTTTTAAAAAGTGACCATCTCTCATGATATTACTCAGCCCAAAATCGGCGATCTTTACATTCCACTTGGAATCCAACAGCAAGTTTTCCGGCTTCAAATCTCTGTGTACGACCATATTTCGATGGCAGTATTCCACGCCTGACACAATCTGATAGCCAATTCACAATGGTAAGCTTCACATTAATGTCAAGCTTACAAAGATCTCATAACAAAAAATGATTTTACGATTTGATAACATAGCTATGTATCCTCGATACTATCTATTTGGCCAAAAATCCTAAATGAAACGATTTGAGATTCCTCTCAAAAACACAACCCTTGTCAAAAATCGTACACCATAAACCAAATACCCTGCAGACAACCAGGAAAAAACTACTTACCTGTTGGAAAAACCTGCGAGCTTCGTGTTCAAGTAGACGGCCCTTTTCTACAATATAGTCAAACAATTCCCCAGACTTCACGTACTCCATGACAACAAATATGTCTGTTGGTGTGTCGATAACTTCATAGAGACGAATGATGTGTGGATGCATGAAAAGCCGCAGGATCTTGATTTCTCGGCGAACTACGCACAAAAATTTTACAATTTTTAAGCACACCAACTACAACATAACGCATGGCCAGAGCTGATACCGGCAATGCAAGTGTTTGAAGAGAAACCAAACTCCCAAAACGTGGAATATATTAGAGGTAATGTACTACTGCGTATGACAGTAATATTCTAAAGTGGTGAATACATAGACCTGTTGCAAATCAAAGCTCATTCGTTGCGAATCTGTTGTGTGTGATTCCCTTTACTGACATATTACGTGATCAATAGCATAGCTTACAAACCATACACAGTAATCTTCCTTCGCTCGGACCCGTGTCACTAGTTAAGTATGTAAACTGCAGAGTTTATTTACAAACATCTGAGACAAAGCTCTACAGATTACAAAACGAATCAATCAAAAAATCTTAAAAGTAGCAATTGGATCTCAACGGTCAGTTTCTACACGAGAGTGATGGTACTAGAGACTCAAAACAAGGCACATAAGACACAAGGTCTAAACCATTCTGAAGGAATGAAATGGACTCCTGCAGTAAGTGAACTGGACGTGACCATGATTCGCAAACAGGAAGCACGCGAGATGAGCTTCCCATAACAAGACTCGGCCAGCTCTTTCAGATCAGAGATCTTCCCCTTCGACAACACTCTGTTCTAAATAATCCCATTTCAAGTAAGCAAGCAATCAACCCCTCGGTAAATTATCACCTCGAGAACGCGATTACTGAGACATTACGGAATTCAGTCGTATACAATCAGCGCAAGTACACGCTTTGTTTGCACACGCACAGTTAAAAAATCCTCGAAAGCTATGAACCATTCCATCGCTCAAACTAGAAAACTAGACACTCAGCCAAGGCTCAAAATTTGAAACTGCGAGATTGTGTTGTCTATAGTATAGATGTGAGTCCCACCTTTCTCTTCCATATCCATTGCTCGGATTTTGCGCCGATTGAGAATCTTAATCGCAACCTTATGGCCAGTGAGCGCATGTTCAGCAACCTTCACCTTGCCAAAAGAACCTATACCCAGAGTTTTTCCGAGCCGATAATTCGGTAGGTAGAATTCTGCGCTGGCACTTGGTCCTGTACCGCCCCGTCCAAGTCCACTGCCCCCTTCCATTATAATCTCTAGTACACGTCTCCCTCCCTCGCATTTGTCGCTCGACGCCCAGCACGCAGCCTCTCCGGAGAGGCCGGTCAATCTGAATAACTTGCTGACAATTCAGCAAACTTGATTATACCGACTCGAGTGGGCAGGGCCCATGTCTAATGCATTTCCTGGAAACTAGACCTCAGAAATTGGATAAAAATCTGGTTATGTTCCATGCTCCAGGCTTAAGCATAGTTCCCCGGCAAGGATGCAGGCAAGTCGATTCTTCTGTAAAATCGGACGACTCGTCGCCCCAAAAATTCATAAATAGCTACGATGCTCTCGTGTAGATTGATCAGTCCTCCACATGACAATCCTTCGTGCTGATTTGATCTCTCCCCCTCCCTCTCTAATCAGTCAACCTGAGCATCCTAAGTCCAACAGCTACACCACTTCCTGGATATCTGCTTGCAGCTAGCAGTCTCCTGCGCTGGTGGATGGGGAGAAAACTAGTGTAGGGAAAGCAGCCGAATCACCGCTTCCGTGATGCCATTCTCCAGATTCTCATCGCCGGGAACGTAGTAGATCGATCAGCTAGCCTCAATACCCGTCTGACAGGCTTTCACCTAAAACGATTCACGGCACATTCCATCTGGAAACTCCGCCACAGCAGGTCACCACCACCAGGTACCCAATGAGTCTGGATCTACTATTAAATGCGACCCGACTCCATTACACTAGCCGGTCGATCCAGCTCTCCCGAAACCATCGCTGTCTCTACTACAGGTCTCGCTCGCTGACGAAGAGATAGCACCGAGCCAGACCGAGCTGCTTCTGCTGCTGTCTTACACCATTCCCTCGCTCGCACGCTCGCTCCCTCTCTCTCTCTCTCTCCCTCCCTCACCCCCTCCTCCTCCTCCTCTCTCGCGACGTCACTGTCAGTATGCCTCTGCCTCCGTCTCCCTCTCGCTGCCTCTCGTCTCTCCCCTCCCTCCTTCCCTCGGTATTTCCCTCCCCGTGTGTCAGTCACTCACACACTCGACTCACTCACTGCTCGCCCATCGCGGTATCCTTCGTCCGTACACAGTCTTGGTGCACCAACCTCCTCGGCCCAGACTCGTCCGGAAAATCGAATTGCACCCGTCGCCGAATCAATCAAGAGCACAAGCAAGCAAACGAAGCCGAGCACGTCCGAGTCAATCTACATAACAACGGGGACAGGTTGAACCTTTCGGCAATCCTTCCGTTCCATTCCTGCGCGTGCTGCTGCTTCTGCTGCTGCTCTGCTGCTGATGCAGCTGGTTTCCTCCCCCCTCGCTCGCTCCCTCTCTCCCTCTCTCTCGCTCTCGCTCGCTCGTGGAGCTCCGTCGCGTGCAGAAACAAAGAAGGAAGAAGAAAGGGCTCTCCGAAGCACCGAGAACCCTAAAATGGCCTCCAAATTAACATAAACTCGAGCAAGCCTGACAGCCTACGGTTAGGCTGGCCTCGCGTGGGGCCAGCGTATTCGCATGCCCCATCCGCATCCCAATATTTTATGTCACCCCCCCGCGCTTAGACGGAGTCGTCAGATGCTTAATCCGATGGTTAGCGTCGCCCCGCGGCATCAATCAGTGCACAGCATTGCGAAGATTCCTCTAACTTGCAGGTCCGGCCGCTAAGTTGCTCGGTCCCGCTCCCTAGGACCGCAATGAACATGCGTGTGCTGTTGGAGCTATGGACGGTCGACCGCACTTCTGGCCTCGTTTCTGCTCCTCCCTCAATTCTTTACGCTTTCTCTCCCCCTCCCGGCTCCTGCTTTTTCCTCGCCTTGCATCCTGTTTTCGCTCTTTGCTTTTTGCCCTTCTTTTCTTTTTAACCTCCTTTTCCTCCCTCTCCAATCTCTCTCTCTCTCTCTCTCTCTCTCTCTCTCTCTCTCTCTCCCCGACCATCCGCCCTCATTCCGAGTTCCTTTTCGACTTCCGTTTATGCACCATTCGTCACGTTACAAAATTTCATGTTCCTTCAGTGTTCATGAGGAAAATTATACTCACTTCACATTTACTGCATCGATGAGGTTTTCTGTCTTTCCTTCGTACTCCGATCGATCACATTAACTCAGTCAATGGACTGAACCCCTTGCCGATACACACAGGCAGAGAGAGAGAGAAAGAGAAACCATCTAAAGCGTGATCTCGCTACACCACACTATATTATCGAGTATCATTATCTAGCATATACATTATTAGACGACATTTGCATTAATAATCATGGATGACGTACTTCCTTGCTCGTTCCTTTTACTTCGGATGCTAAGAATTTCTCGTTCATTTAATATCTTCATGGACAAGACCTAACCTTCAGGGTAAGCGTCGGGTCAAGGGAAAAGGTCGAGCAAATATAATGTTAAGAACGTGGTAGAGGACCAGGCAGAGTTCGCTTTTTATGACCCTTCGGTTAAAAGATTAAATCGGGGAACCCTTGGTTACGCAATGAGGTTTCCTTCGGACCGTGCATACCAACTCTCTTCACTTCTTCCTAACCCGAGGAGAGCCATCCACCGTGGGTGGGTTAGCCTCGGGAGGGGTCACTGCGGCATTTGCGCTGCTCTGGGGTCAAGGTGACTCATGAGATAAGAAGAGTCGGTTTATCGGGAAAAGAAAGTGGGCTTGCTTATATGCATTCGTACCGTCTCTTCCCTCCTGTCTTCAATCCAACTCCCCCTATATTTAGAACGGATATTTCTTCATTACTGATGGAATATAGTATTTCCAAATTCTCCTTATTTAAGTAAAGGTGTCCAAACCCTCCGATTCTGTCGTTATAGATGGAACCATATGTATCTATAAAGGCTGGCAATGAGGTTTCGTGCTGATATACATTAATAAAGTTTACATGGCGAAGAATAATTGGGACCTGAAGATTGACTAATTTCTTAAGTACTGCTAGACACTGATTCCCCAATTCGTTCATCTTCGTTAAAGAAAGAAAAAGCAATATATCCATGCGAGCAATCTGTGCAAGATGCATTTGTTTTTGTTTGTGGAACGATTTCTTCACTACTCTATGTACCAAAAGTTTCTTCCAGCTGAACATTAGATCTCAACTGGTCGAACGTCCCACCTCCTCATTGATGATATGACACAACTGATAGTATGAAACGGCATTCACCTGTAAGCATAGAGGCCGAGTATTGCTTTATTTACTAATATTGACTTCAATTGCTTAGAAATGGTAAATTAGAACGTAACAAACATTTCCAACGTCCCTGTCAATTCCATTTATTCAGATTGTTCAAAGATCAAGATGCTTGTGAGAACTTGATCTCTGCAGAAAATTATTTTAAATTATTTATTTTATTCTTATAAAAGCATAAAAAGTTAATCCAAATACAACTTTACACACTTTTGATCCCTTTTTTATTTTTAAATTATACATGAAAATCAATTTTTGAAAAAAATTATTTGTATATGTGCATTGAACCAAATTACTTAACACTTAAAATATGTACAAAATAAAATTATAAAGTTCAAATAAGAGATATTTTTTATGCAATGATATCAAGGGAAATTTTATATGCAAATGATAAATATTGAACATATATTAAGATTTTTAAATATTTTGATTCCTTTCATGAATATAATTTTGATCAATAAATATATCCATATTCTTTCATAAATATAGAAGGCAATAAAGTAAACATATCTCATCATCTTACATGAGGATGTTCCATATATTTCTTATTCTCAACAAAATAAGTAAGATCAATGTCTCCAACAAAATAAAGTTCAAAATAAAATTCAAGCATGAAATTTATTATCAAAATGTTTAAAAAATCAAAGATATCTTTGGTCACAATTTACTAATTCTCAAAATTAAGAATTCATATATATATATATATATATATATATATATATATGTGTGTGTGTGTTTGTGTTTATTCTGAAATTTAAAAGAAATGCTGAAAATTTAGGTTTAAAAATTATGCAAATTTTTCACATAATCGTTAACATGGTTTTGATATTTAATAAATATAATCCATGCATATACTATAAAATTAAATCTAACATTATCTAATATAAAGATTTAAAAATGACTATTGAACAAAACTTCAATGTTAGTCAATCCAAAAATTATAATTACTTTCTCAATGACACAATTCGTTAAACTTAATTATAATTAATAGTTTCAGTCACTTTTATCCCAATTGATAAAACCGTTACTAGAAGAAAATCCAAATCTACGTGTAGGATTTGCTTTCCAAAATAATGATAATTTCTATTTTGATATATTATTTCAACGCGCAAATATTATCAATTTTAAAATTATTTAAACCATCATTTTTATTCACAAACAGCAAAAGCAAAACCAGTTCTTTTGTGTAGAATCTTACAAAAGGAGAAAAAAACCTCAATCTCAATGTATAAAATAATTATGATTATATAATCCAACTTTTATAATATTTTACTACAGAAATGTTAACATCAGAATTGATGTGATACGATGCCAAATTTTTTTATCGAATATTATTTCATTAAAAAAATTAATTTATAAATACATAAAATTATAAGCGTATATATAAGATGATATTTAAGTGTTGAAAATTTTCTGATTTGGTCTATTTACTTTTTTTTGAGAATTGTGATATTATCTGACGTGTAATGGGAGGAATGTCATAAAGAAATAAAAATTGTAAATTATCATTCAAAAATATTTCATTTTCTTATATATCAACTTCATGATTTATATATAATAGAATATATTTTTGCAAGAATTTATCAAGAAGACAATTTTATAATTTACTCAATGTCATCATATGGTTTAATTATGTTATTGTTTCAGTTATTTGTATCATAGTGTTAAATAATTGCAATGTTCGGATTTACAAACCAGTGTAGTTCTAAGGGCTTATCGATATTATGAATTTGGCTAATTTTTATATATGGTTGAAATTTGAGAAAGCTTCCTACCAACAATTATATAATATAAGTACAATGTAGGATATTTCTCCACCTTGAAATGGTTTTCAGCTCATGCTTAACGGTCTTATAGAAAATCATCTTCAATGATTTATATCCATCATTTTTAATTTGTGTATTTTAATTTTATATTATATTCATCACTCCTGAATTTGGAATCTGGTTACTATTTTTTCATACATTTCGTAATCATTTTGTACTTTCTGTTTATATGGATTTGAAATATGATCAATATATCCTCAGGGTACTCGTTGTTCTCAATCATTGTATGACTGTCAAGTGAAGGTAAGCGTGAAAAGGTTTCTTAACACCGGGTATATATAAAACGGATTTATATATGTACTGCCATTGAAAGAAAATCAAATAATCTTAGGCGGAAATGTGAAACAGAGTGTATATCATATAATCAATGAATTTAATTTCTTTCTGTTTTATAATTCCGTATTGATTATTGAAATAAATTAATCATTAGATTTGAAAGTTTGTGAAAATTATTGGCTGAGAATACTATAAATTTTGGAAAACTTTAAATGAAAGTATACTGAAAGAAATTGAAAAAAATGACGATATTAACAGCCTCCATGGGATGCAAACATATTTCTTCAAAAATCCAATAGGCGCAAATCTAAAAGCTTATATTTACTTTTAGACCACAATTTATATAAGTTATGAAGCTAAATATTATCAATTTATTAATTCATCTTTGTTATTTTTTTTAAAGGGAGTAAAATTTATTGAAACAGGCAAGTTTTGTGAGTTGTTAGTTATCCTTCATGAGTTTCAGGCCAATGATATCTGTGAGGGATTATATGACTACAATATTGGGGTCAATCGCGAAATTATGGGTGACGACATTAGCTGTTACAAGTGTTATGATCTTTTGCACCAGATTTTGGAAAGATTATCACAAATTATCACAAGATATATAGGGCTTGTGAGACAAATAACTCTTAGATTTCTCCGTCATGTGTCGAGTAATTTACCAAGTTTTCCTTGTTTACAAATTTTTAAATTAGAATTCAGTATAAATATTTCAAGCAGTATAAGAACGTCCAAAACAGAAATCTCATCGACGCAATTATCCTTGAAACAGTATATAGTGAAATAAACTCAGTCTCTCTCAAAGCTGCAACGTTGTACTCTGAAACGATCCGGATCATTTGTTCCAAAAAGTTCCCAAGTCTATAGCCTCTTTGTGACATTACTTACCCTCTTCTTCCCCTTCCCCATCTCGAAAAGAGATGATATCTAGCTATCATAAATTTCTGCCCTTGCAGTAAATAAGATGGATAAATGATGATCTCATGTTCACCGAAGTGTTTTCTGAATTCAACTTCACGCAGGACCATGCACTTATCCCTTTCCCGGCAGTTATGACCGTGAGTCCCATGATCACGCAGCTGAAATCGGCGACGAACATTTATATAATTCTCGTGAATCTGCCGAAGTACAGACTCAGATTCCGAAATGGAAGGAAGGAGATCCAACCACGTTCATTGGCCGGAAGTGATAAGTCATAGAAATACTCGGTATAAAGTTGGTGTGGTTCTCATGTTCCTCTAGGAGACAACACCTCGCGGTTCTGCATTTAGAAATTTTACCGTTGACTAACGAATGAGTGTTTGTACAGACCTGAATGTAAACCACCGGAGTAGATGAGGCACAGGGTGGAAGGCAGATGGACTGCCGTGTATCCAGGAGTGGTCTTTGCGTCACTCGTCTGTACGAAATACGGTATAGTTCTGCTCTGTCCCGCAATAACGGTTGAGAACATATACCGCCGTCTTGTCGCTTTTGTAGTGAATGTTTTTTCTATTTTGAGTATCGGCATTACTCTCGACAATGCAAAATTCTGTTGGATGAGAACTTTACACGAGACTATCGAAATCATCCCTGGCATGAGTTAAACACTTTACTCCAAGTGAATATACATAAGCTCCTGTTATTTCGTTAATTTTTTTTTCTTAATTCGTCCACGTTTCTTCAATTTGGGTACATGATTGTGGTGTATTCGTAAATGCCCTTCGTTGTGAGTATCGAGCTCAGTTCTCTTTGGGACATTTTCAAATTCAATGAGGGAGACTATGATCACACAAAATCAAAGAGAAGGATAGTGAACTTAATATTGCATTTCTCAACCGCCTGAGTTTGCATTGTGGAAACTGTACACCTAGATTTGGCTCGATGACTCTTTCCATCATTTCTTAAATGATGGTTCCTGTGGTTCAGAGTGGATTCCACCTAACTTGATTTCGAAGCTTAACCATAACATTATGGAGACTCCTAGAGTTTCTTTGGTACTTGAGCAAATGTGCAAAGGATATATGTCAATCAAGCATTGGCACTGGAACAGGCTCTATTATAATAAAGTAAGAGTATCATGACGTGGTCATACACAACGGACAATTGTCAAGTATACACAAAGTGTATAAATCTTTTAATCAACTTTAAGGGTTGTTTGACAACAAATGATGAAGTTCAAGACTTTTCTCCTCTCGAAAAAATAGGCATTCGAATAAAGTAAATTACTTTTTGTCAAAGGTCTACTCTTGTGACGCGAGGCCAATACCAATTCTTCTACGGTGCCTTACCTGCACGTAGTTTACTTGTCACCCCCAAAGATTCTTCGACCGTCTACAATGGAGTCTTCACAATAAACACGTGGTTGTATCCTTTTCTCGGCAAAACATGGATAAAATGATAAAAATAAAAAATTTGCTTTCTAAGTCAAAGATGAAATATATTAATTTACGGATACGACGAAAGGTGACGTCGCAGCCATGCCAGCAATTACTGCACGAAGGAAAGTTTACTGGGCTACGTAGTTGGAGCGAGTTGCCTATACCAAATCCACGAAGTCGTTGTGTGACAACAAATAGTGAGCCCAGGGAACTTTACCGGGCAGCGTCGGAAGCAGCTGGCTGTTAAACCACGACGTTAAATGTCGGAGGGGACAGTAATGACCAGACGAGAAGAAACAAAATGTTATTAATTCCGGGAGTAGTTTCCGGCGCATACGGTATTAGGGACATAGTCGATGTGAGCATTGAGGCCGTCCGTTCGTATTTCTGGTGGAAGTGCAGGCGGAAGGCGAAGGCGGCCGTTGGTCGAATGCCCGGAGGGAAGGGCGTGAGTCCCAGGATTACGGCCGGCGGAAAGCGGAAAGACAGACGGACGCAAAGGGAAGGCGACCGGATGCGGTGTTCGGGTGCGCGGACCGCGAAAGGACTGCGGTCGACTCCTGGCGTCGTGGTCGTCCGATCCGCTGGTCGTCAGTCGTCCTGAGACCGACGAATGGGTCGGGTCGGGTCTGTCTGTCTGTCTGTCTGGCTGGGAGCCTCGTGTCTTCGTCGAATCACTCGTTTCGTGTGTTCTTTTCTGCGATCGAGCGACGATCCAAAGAAAACCTACGGGCTTCGTAGAATCGCAGCTGCTCGATATTGATCCACTCCTGCGAACTAACTAACCAGCGCACCGGGCTACCGAAGTAGAATTGACGTCGGGTCGAGGTGCGAAGGGAGCCTTCAGTGGCGACGCGAGAGGTTGCAAGAATAGGACGGCTTGGAAAACAGCTTTTGCTGCGAGAAGTGCGTGTGCCTATCTTCTGCGGGGGAAGGGGGCGAAAGTTCGAACAGTTTTCGAAGTGGGAGAAAGATTCGAGAGGCTGGCACTCAGTTTTGTGGAGATGACTAGGTTTAACACGGTGGAACTTGCGACGGACAGGGACTTATGAGGCTCGGAGAAGCGGTTGGGTAGGCCTGAGTGAGACTTGCATTTTAGAGGCCGAGCAGGTTGTAGAAAGAAAGACTGCTAAGTGCTGTGAGAGAAGTGGCACATGTTTACACCTCAAAAAAGGGCTCAGCCGAGCTGGGCTCTTCAGTCCTCGGGTGAAAAGGCGAACCGGAGAGATAAGGGCAAAGTAATTAGTCCCGATGGAAGAGTCGGAGGAAGTACTCCCAACTCCACCACAGAAACACTGACCAGGACTGTGGTGGAGAGGAGTGTTGTGGAGATGAGTATGATGGACGTCGCACCTCCTGTAGCGTCTCTAGATGGACGAGGACCAGATGGCGTTCAGTCAGAGCCTGAAATTTGGCGTCGTTTCCAGGAGGCTGGTGCTCTTGATGTGGAGTCGCTCGAGAAGAAAGATCGAGTGGCGTTACTGGCCAAAGTTTCCACATTAGAGGCTGAGGTACACCTTTCGTGATACTTTTAACAGCTTGTGTACTGCGAGCCAATATTTTGTGATTGTCTCGTATTTCAGGACACTCACTGTCCATCATAATCTCCCGTTTTGAGCTTGTCATGTAACCAGAGCACTACGTTACCGAGTGGACTAAATCGTTATTTTTGCGAGTCTACTAAAATGAACAGCCAGAGACAGTTCAAACCAGCAGGGTTTCGTAATTTTTTGTATTGTGGATAGTAACTCTCGTATAATAGTGGTTAGCCATAATGATCTGCTTGGAGCTCCATCAACAAGAAATATGAGTTTGTTTCAGAAGTACATTTGACCTGACATATTTGGTTATTTGAAACTTCGGAATATGAGGTAGTGTGCCCTTTAACCTACGAAGGCACGAGCCTGAGAGTGTTTAGTCTGCGCGAGCTTGAAACTTAGCGAAAGTTTATTTTGTGTAAACTTCTGAATTTATGACCCTCTCAAACGTGTTCAGCGTACTGCACTCGAATAATATGAAACTCCATATTTGTTTGGTCTTTACAACAATCAGTGTCGAAGTGGAGACTCAGTTCTGAGAGCAAACGTCCACATGCACAACCGTACGCTCCTAACGACGGTAATGCTTGTGTGACATGTTTACTGAAGCGTGGTGGTTAACCCTGGCAGTTATACGACTATCAGTATCAGATGGGACTGCTACTGATGGAACGAAAGAACTGGAACATCAAGAGCGAGGAGTTCAAGGCAGCCATTTTAGAAGCGGAGGAAAACACACAAAGAGAGCAAGCTGCCAACTTGATCGCCCGTGAAGAAGCGGAAAGACGCGAACAAATACTCAAGAAATCTCTGGAGATAGAGAAACGATGTGTAATTGATGTAAGTGAAACTGACTGAGGAACAGTGCCGCTCAGTTTGTGTAGCTATTGGTTTCGCAGGTTGGACTCTCAAGTTCTAGAGTTTATGAGCAACTTATCTTTAGTTTCTTTGACCGTTCTTCTTTTCCTGAAGGCTTTGGGTGTGAACGTCCCTAGTATCCACCAGACCTTGATTAGGAGTTAAGTTTACATGCACGTACAGCATCTGCATGTGTTTGCACGTGTACGAAGAATTAAGTGATGTACTTTGTCACCACGATTGAGTTTCCTGCTTATACTGTATATCTGGTCTAGTGAGATTCCACTTTTCGTCATATAGACAGTTTTCATCTTTTGCGGATAAAGCCTGCGCCGATCTCTGGATTCCGAGGCGAGAATTAGTTTTTGCTCCACCATTCATGCTACAGAGAGATTAGTTACACTTGTCTATGCTGAATTCACGGTCTCGAAGCGAAACTGTAAATATTGTGAGTGTGTCATACCACTACTTTCGTGTGTGAACGTGAGTGGCTGTTTAAATTCACCTTCGGTTTCATTTCAGCTGGAGAAAGCCTTGAAGGAGATGCGTGCTGAAGCAGCGGAAGTTAAGGAATCTGCTGACAAGCAGGTGGTCCATGCCCGAGAGATGGTGTACGGAATTGATGAAAAGCTTCAAACAGCTGACGCAAAGTTGTATGAAGCGCAAGCTATCCGTGCAGAAGCTAGTCGCAGGCATGCAGAGTCCGAGAGGAAGGTGCAGGAGGCGGAGGCACGTGAAGATGCCTTGAGAAGAGAGAGGCAGGGTCTTTACGCCGAGTAAGTGGTTACAATTGAATTTCAATTTGCAAACATTATATTTGCTTCGAAGGTAGTGCGGAATTGCCGATATTTTCACCAGATTTAACCTCTTTCATTTCAAGGGCAGTTTGAACTTTTCTGTCCATCATGCTGACATGGACTTCTTTATCTGATGGGATATACTTTGGCGGGACGAATGAAGACATGATTTGTGTGAGCTCTTCTGGGTGCTAGTCTTCGTGGATATTGCAAAAAGGCTGCTCACTGAAAATTGGATGATTTTCCAGGGTGGAAGCTCGAAAGCAAGAACTAGATAAAGAGGAGCAGAGCTTAAAAGATTGGGAGAAAAGGTTACAAGAAGGGCGGGATCGAATTCACGAGGGTGAGAGGCTGCTAAATAAAAGAGAGCAGTCTATCAATCAGCGTGATGAAGAAGTCAAGCGTCTGGAGAAGAAGCAGCTTGACATCAAATCGGACTTGGAAAGAGATAGATTATTACTGCAAATTATGGAAGGAGATCTCAATTCACGACTCGCAATCATAACAGAGAGGGAGGAGGTCCGATTCACAACTTAAATCCATGCATGAGATCCTGCAGAGAAAGTCTGTAATTTCAAACATTCAACATCTTAGGTTGTGCCTGTTATTGCTTGAAGGCAAGAGGTCTCTGTACGGAGTGTCAGTAGCACACGGAAGAGTTGTAGACACGCGCTGACTGAAAAGTTCAAATTAGTGTACGCTTCAATCGAATTTCTTTGGTTGCACATTACTTGGCGTAGCTAGGATATGACGGAAGTACTTTTAATAAGTATGTGCTTGATTTAGTTGACATCCTATATCCACTTGTTTGACAGACTGCACTCGAAAGAGAGGTATCTATTGACAAGAAGGAACAGGACGCCTTGTTGACACAGCAAAGGCTTGCAGGTCGATTAGTGGTAAGCTTCGTATTCAAAGTGGATGTTCATTTTTATACATGCCAACATCTATTGAAACTAGTCTCTAGTACATCGTGCAGCTCGTCTCTGTTACCTTAGTTCAGTCCTTCTATGTTTTGTCTTGGCATTGAAATGAGTTGCCAGCAGGCGATATTTCTTTCACGCCTCGGAAGGGTGGCTCGCTACTTGTAGTCTCTATTTTTAGTTTCTCTGCATATACCGCGATCTGGTAGCTCGCTCTGTAGCTTAGGTCGGTAACCTCAGCTGCTCTGTTGACAACAGGATTTGGAGGAGCGCGAGCAGCATTTGAAGAGTATGGAAGTGAACATAAACAATGAAAGAGAGCGCTTGGAGATATTGGAAGGCACCTTGAAGCTGAGAGAAGAGTCTCTGGTTGAAGAAAGAGATGATCTGGTTAGTATCTAGATTCACTCAGTAAAGTTGAAGATTTTCTTAAGGAGTCGCATGAAAGCTGTTTCGCTTTTGAGAGGGCTATTCACTTTTGATTCGTTGTGCTAACTTGTCAGCTGTGAATTTTATTTCAGGTTAATCTGAGATTGACCATCGACGAGCAAAAGAGAGAGCTTGTTGCTTTAAAAGAAGAAGTCGAGTCTGCGAAAGCAACGCTCGAGAAGGAACGGATGAAGCTAGAAGCGGATAGGGAAGACTTCGAGAGCAAAAAGGATTTGGTCGAGCAAAGGTTGTTGGAGATTGACCAGAAGCTCGAGAGCATTGCCCAACGAGAGGTTCAAGATCACAAACGGAGCACTATGCTGAGTGAAAGGGAAGAAAATTTGGAACAAATGTTTCAAGGAATTGCAGTGAAGGAACGAATCGTCAAGGAAGAGGAAAGTGCGGTGGAGGCTGAACGGCGAAGACTTGCCGAGGAAAAAGAGGACCTGGAACGAGCGAAGGAAGAAATAGAAGATATCAAAGCGCAACTTGCTTTGGAGCGGCAGCAAGTGCAGGATCTCAAAGACAAGTTGAAGAAAGACCATGAAGCAGAGATGCATGAATTGGCGGAAGAGAGGAATGCGTTGAGGATGGGTGAGGAGCAGGGAAGGAAGCGACTCCAGGAGGAGAAGGAGGTTCTCCAACAACAGATCGAAGATGAGAAGCGCCAGATTACAGCGGAGAAGGAGAGATTGAAGGTCATTGAGGAGGAGAGAGAAGAGTTGCTTTTGGTTCAGAAGCAGTTGAAAGAAGAAATTGATGAGTTTAGGGCCCGCAAACTGCGTGTGAGCAATGAGCTGGAGGAGCTGAAAACGGAAAAGGAAAGGTTTGAGCGGGAGTGGGAGTTACTCGATGAAAGGAGGGAAGAGTTGAAGAAAGAAAAGGAGAAGTATGACGAGGAGAGTCGAACAATGACGGAGTGGCTCCGGACCGAGGAAGAAAGGCTCAAGGCCGAGAAGCAAGAAATTCATGTTCAGTTTTTGACTAACTCAGAGGATCTTAGTGCAGAGCGAGAGGCCTTTATCAAGAGAATGGAAAGAGAGAGGGTGGAATTATTTTCAAGAGTCGAGAAAGAAAAGGAGGATATAATGAGAAGTGTAGATCTCCAAAGGACGGAGCTTGAACGGAGCGTCGAGAAAGAAAGAGAGCAATTCAACAAGTTGGCTGAAGAGAGGGAACTTCGACTTTTTAAAGATCTTGAGCGTGAGAAAGAGAAAATCAAGGAAGCAAACGAAGCTCTGCTGAGAGAATCCGAGTTGATCGGGTTAGAGAGGCAGAAGCTTGAAAAGGAGAGGCATGAGATTCTAACTCAAAGGGACAATGCAGAGAAAGAGTGGTCTGAAATAAGGAAGGACATAGACCAGTTACATATCCAAAGAGAGAAATTGAAGGAACAAAGAGAAGCTCTGCATAATGAGAGGGAGGAAATTCTGCAAGAAAAGGACACTGTGCAGAAAGAAGCGAACAGGTTGAGGAAAATGAAGTACGAGCTGAAGGAAGGAGAGAGCAGCCTTCGGTTTTCTGATCAACAACAATCACAAAGGAGGGGCCAGATGGGTCAAGATGCCGAAGTCTTATCTCCTCCTCAGCAAGGCCAGTCAGTCGTGAGAGATTCTGGGAAAGAACTCACACCGAAGACACCACCAGGGCCAGGTACTAGTACTGGAGCTGAAGTTACTCCAAGTCGTAAGCTCATCACTTCTCCAAGTGCCGGATTGGGTTGGTTGAAAGCTTGCCTTTTTAGGAGCGCTGAGAAAACAGCTGGACCTTCTACTGCTGAAGGACAGGCAGTTGCGCAAGGGCAGAGAAGTCAGTCAAGAGACGTCAGACAGCGATTGTTACAGCCCTCCAGAAGCTTTAATCAATCACAAATAGCTCAAGCGGTTGGAGTTGATGCAGTAGGAAGTGTAAAGAAGCGGGTGAAGCGGGCAAAGCGGACTGGTCCCATGCAAGTAGTAACAGAAGAGGCTCGGCAAGGAAACTCACAAGCTGACTGGACTGGAAGCCAGATGGAGGACAGGGAAGCAGAAGTCATGTCTGAAGCTGATGGAGGTCGTAATCAGGAAGCCCTTGTACCTGAGGAAGGTAGCAAGGGCAAAGATGCAGAAGTCAATGACATCGCGCAGACCTCTGAGCCAAGAGGGGCAAAAGGTGGTAGGAAGAGACGACGGCAGCCAGTGAAAGAAACCAGCCAAAATTATCTTGAGAACAATGAAGAATCTGATTCTGATACCGCCGGTGCTACCAGGAGAAAGAGACGCTTCAAAGATATCGAAGTGCTAAGTGGATATAATGGGGATTCTGGCCTCGACACTCCTACATCTCAAGCAAACACACCTGGCGGTGGTCGGAGATACAATCTCCGACGTTCCACGTTGTAAGACTTCTGGTCCCTGTGGTATGAATGTCGGGGTGTACTCATTTCTAAGAGGACATGCTAGAGGTTTATTTATCTATCTGCTCGCAAGTTAGACCGCCATGAGCCTTTGTACGAAGCCTGCCTATTCTGCGCCTGATAGGAACACGCCTTGAAAAGTATTGTCGAATGTTGTCTCTGCCTCACTGAAGGATGAACTGTGGCATCTTGACTTTTTCGTCTATAGACTCATGGAAGTCGGTGGGGTTGTTCAGAATAAATACCAAGGCTACACAGGCTGCTTCAGCACAATCAGAAGAGAGAGAGTTGTCAGCTCAACAAGAGCGTTCTCAGAGGAAAAAGGCTCCTCCTGCCTCAATTCCTGAAGCTTCTGGCGACCTACCAGAAGTTTCCTCCCCTCCACCTTCTCAAGTAAGAGTCTTATCTTCAAGATCTCCTGGTTCGTTGTCCTTGCTATATCTTTGCGGTTCTAACCTTGTCCTATTATGGATGATGATATTGCTGTATGTTATGTCATCCTTCTAGCCAGTTCCTGGCATAGGATCCATGAACTATGAACGATGCAGTTCATGAATATTCGACGCGAGCCCTTATTGGGTACCCGCAATTTCACCTGGTAAATGATATGTTGCCATTGTCGTTGTCCTTGATATAGTAAAAAAGTTTCAGGCAAGTATCTCATATTCGATAGTGATAAATAGCAGTCACAGTTACAAGGAGAACAAGATGGGACCATAGAGCAATTTACATGTCGTGTGGCAAGGAGGAGGGAACTCCTGTTCCATTTGTGATGGAATCCTGTGGTCTTTATCATGCCAGCAAAATTTTTGGGCGAGGTAGTTCTGGTTGTAGAGTCGGAAGCTGTCTACGGAACTTATAGCCTTGATCCGATGCCCAAAGCAGCCTTATTGTTGTTAGTCATGTTTAATCATCAGTAGGATGAGTTAGTCAAGTGTTTCTTTGTTGATCCCTGATTCTGAAGTAATCTCATTGTCTGCCACATTTCCCGTTATAGAGGCACCGTTTTCATTCTCAAGTACTTTTCTCTCGATTATCTCCTACTTCTATCTTGCTTTCTCCAAGTACTACTTTTCATCACACTAGCTCTGCCTAATTGAGGGGACGTCGTCTACGGGGTTCACGCTTTGACCAGCACATGTTAGTACACTTTGTAATATACAATAAAGTACATTCGTAATGAGTGTTATGGTTGAATTTAGCTGTCCTGCATCTTTGCTTATTGTTTCGGAAGAAAGTACCACAAATATGGGAGTATGTAGAGTTTGCAGATGGTTAGAGACTCTCTGTCCACCCTACTTCGGAGGGATGAGTGCTTCTTGTTCCTGATATAAATAGCAGTCTACACGTTCCGAGTGTCGATAAATATCTTCACCTAATCGTCGTAGAAGTGCGATCAGGACTTTTCAACCTACTTCACTTACCCACCCACTTCCTGCAAATGTTCATGAGTACACTAGTTCTGAGTTATCTCATCGTTGTCCTATCTGATGCAGAGAGAGGTCCGGCCAATGACGACCATCACTTTGTCCACGTTAGTCATCGAAGAGACCATTGTGAAAACGGAGGTGACAAATGGTATAGTGGAAGGGAATGAGTTGGAAGGAAATGGGTCTCCTGAAGAAGGGGTTGGTGTTCTCGAGAGGGCTTCTGATGAGCCCGTCCAAGAGCAGCATGAAGGGTCCCAAGATGGAGCTGTCCAGGAGCAGCAAGAAGACCCTCAAGAAGAAGCTGTCCAGGATCTGCAACATGATCTGCAAGAGGTAATCGGAGAAGGTCTACTTGCGGGCTATGAATTTGGTCAGGGGAGTGCAGGTGTTCAGCTTGATGCTCGTAATGGAGATGGAGAAGAGCATGATGGAGACGACGGGGATGGAGATGAAGGGGTTTTAGAGGAAGAAGTGGTGGAAGAGGTGGAAGAGGAAGAGCTAGAAGATGGTGTCGAAGCTGACGTGGAGGAGGTCGAAGAAGGCGGAGAGGAAGTTGAGGAAGTTGAGGAAGGGGAGGATGAAGAGGAGGTTGAGCTGGAAGAGGATGAGGAAATGGAAGAGGTTGATGAGGTAGAGCCTGAGGAAGAGCAGTCTGAGTCACAAGAAGAAGCAGAGACACCCAAGCCAACAATTGGACAAAGGGTCTGGGACTTCTTAATCACGTAAGGAGTACGAACGTCCGTTGATGTGCCTTGAATCAGCTCCAATCTTACGCATTTGCTCTTGGTGATGTGTTCTCCACTGAAGAACCCATGGAAGCTAGCTTTAGATTAGATCTCCGTTGCCCACATGACAGCGCCGTATTACAGTGCATTGTCATGGGGGATTAGGTGTTTGAATATGATCTTATTTAGAGTTCGAGTTTTGCACTGAGGAGTTGCACATTATTGTTGTACAATGGTAGTCACTTAAGTAGATCTGTTTGTATTTTGTGGAACTCTCAGCTATATTATTGGTACCATCCATGTGATGGGCCCAGGAGGTAGCATTACTGCCTTTCAGTTACTGAGGAAGCATATGCCATGCATTTCAGGTTCTTTGTAATCATCATTTTGTGAAAGTAGCTGAAATGCTTTTTGTACAAACTCACTGTAATTCTTTCTGTACCTTCAACTGGCACACATTTTTTGGGATACAGACTTGGAGTTGACTGATGTTGTTTCTACCACTGTTATGCTCGAGCATTATCTCTACGTGTGTGACTGATCTTGGTGTCCTGTTACTTCATGACCGGCTTTCTTTTTGTTCTCTTGTCCTTCAAAAGGGGGGAGTTGGAAGTCAAAGGAGACTCTTTTTGAACTACTTGATCTGCAATTGCAAGCCTTATATATGATGATTGTAGTTTTGGAGTTTCAATTATTGTAAGACTTGTTGTAGACCGCATATGAGATTCTACTTCCAGCTTCATGACGTTCTTTCCGATTAGGATTGTGCCATGACTATGATGCCACAGTTTGGGATGTCTTAAAGCTGGGATATATTTATCTGCAGTCACTTCGTATTCAAACATGCACAGTTTTCCCGGACTGATGTATAGAAGTGCATTCTGAGTCATCGGGAGACCAAAGCTCAATCGACCTCTCCTAACTCCCAGCAAGGAGTAAACGCCACAGCTCCTTAGAGGACATATTTCTTTGTGGAATCCCATTACAGGATTAGTTCCAGCGAATGCTCATCGAGATAGTATATGAAAACGAACTTCAGCCAGAAAGTCAATCACCAATAGACGGGTATGCTTACACTCAATTTACTCAAACTTAAGTCTCAACTAGCAAGTAAAGGAGTTGCGCAATGGAAGTCTACGATGTCCGGAGGAGAGTACTGGCAAATGTCTAGAATTGAACATAGTTGAATCCATTCGGAATGGTCGGTGATGTGCACGGCCCAGTAGAGCATCCAGTGCAGATATTCTAGAACAATTTGCGCTGATTACCACGAGCAGATTCCAGTCGTGATTGCTGGCCCGTTCTATACATAAATCGTCACAATAGGTTATGATTCTTGCCGACCTCGATTATTCAGATGCCCTGGACAACACGTTCACAAGTGATGCTATTGGGGTTGAACACCATGAAACACCTCTGGGTTCATCCATGTTCTCCTTGATGGGCCTTCCTTTCCTGTTTGTTATATTACTCGGTTCCCTCTCGCTCGACGTACCCTCCATGTGGACAGAGCTTTGTGAGTGGTGATGGGACGTTCTGATCACAGATTGGTATGATCCATAATAAGTATTTTCAGACCGCCACTGATTACAGTACCAGTCCTAGAGCAAGTACTAGGAGGAGCTGGGAGTAATTATAACTAAGTGGAGAGTTTTCCTTTCCCTATAACTCGAGCCATCTCAGAGCAAATCACGTTTACAGAACAGAGCATTATAGAAGCTCATAACGTCTGTAAAGGGTAAAGCTAAACACTATTGATATTCAGACTGGTATAAGAAATAGTCAGTCACATTTAACGATGGATTGTAAAACCTCTTTGTGGATATCAGAAATTTTCGACTGAAGTATAGATGATGGTGCGGGTGAGTCTCTGTATTACTGATATCGAACGACCTGAACTACTGATAACTAAGCTGGGGGTTAAAATATGACCTTAATAAAAAATTGTTCTTTCTACGGAAAGATTCCAATTTTTTTAACCTGATGATTACAACAGTCATAAATTCGTTTGTTTGTAAAGTCTAGTAAATATGAAGCCTTGCCATAACAGTTTTCTTCCCAAATCAAGTAAGTACCCTAGGTCCACATAGTAAATCCACATCTGAGTTGAGTCATTATATAGAGTGGTGTAAGTATTTAAATGTGATCTGGTTAAAATCACATTGGAATCAAGTAACCATTATTAGAAGAGTTGGATTTGGCATTTGAAACGGGTAAATTTTGTGGCATTCTCATTTGACATATCTACATTTTCCTGTATAAGGCGAATTCACTTACCGTGAGTAAGATTTCTTTAGACAAGGAGTTGTACTCCTTACATTTGACCTCTGCTTTGGATACTTCTATCATTTACTTGAAACTAGTGCCAGTTCAGATATCTTAAACGTCGATAGTATTGGGGCTAGGCCCATGTTGACATTCTTTGGTTTTGTATTTTACTGCTGTTGTTGCCTCTCACCATTCCATCTTTGAATTCACATCCGAGTCATTCACAACACGCTGGGCTCTCCTCGTGCAGTCAGTCATCCACACCTCGGTTGCACCGGTCCAGGACGGCCACAACGCTAGAATTACAGAACTAAGTTCTCAGCTTCTCCATCGGTCTCCTCAGACTTGCATCACAGTCACTTTCAAGAGTCCAAACTCAAGACATGTTGGACGCGAGACACAACGTCTCCTCGTTCCTCGACAGGATTGGGACATCCAGCATGCGAATCACGAACAACATCAGATTCGGTGTACCCACTAGTACTATCAAGGGCCAGAGAAGATGAAGATTTCGTGGGACTAGTTCAAATCTCCATAAAAGAATTAAGAAATTTTCATAAGAAATTCAGGATTTGTAGATGGTCGCTGATGACGACTGACAGATGCTAAAGGAGCTTGGTGCCTGAGGACATGGGTGAATACAACACATGCCAAAGCTAGTCCTTGTGGTTCACAACGCTGTAGACTGATTTCCGTGCTTGATCTAGTGAAAGGTCCATGTCAAGTTTTAAAGCGATATCTGTAAGAGAACAAATGCATCTTGACATCTTTGAGGCATAAAGAATTTGTACGAGATGTCCGTACTTCGTATGATCACCTGGTAGATCATGATTGTCGGCCGGGTGAGAAGTATGCCCCTCGTTTCCATGTCCAGCATCGGGAGTTTCAAACGAATTGATTGCTGAAGTTTTTCTTCGTCTATTTTTCGTATGGCCCCACAGATACACTTTGGAACCAGAGGCTCTGATTACGAGGTAAACTACCATGAACTCTATAGAACTCATATTCCAAAACCCATGTCCTCTGTTTAGATACTCTGATGAGCTTTTGGATTTCAAGGCGTTATCCAAAGGCATGCGATTCTCAGACTATGACTATTCTTTAACTTCCATTTGGGTGTGTCCACGGAATTCCGAGCTTTAACAGCAGCCACGGTGTTCTGGAATGAGAGCGTTTAGAGGTGCAGGAAGCCAAACTGTCCGATTTTATAATACACATTTAACCGGGAGAAAAATTGCTTTGGAAGCTGCAACAGTAGATTGAGAGGTAAAGAATCGGCTGAAACTGCCATTCGTTGGCTTGAGCAAGTATTGTTTGTCTAAACGTGATAGCTCAAGTGTCAAGTTGGAATGGATTTTAAATCTGAAAGGTTTCCTCACATAAAGAAATGAATTGGGAGTTTGGAAAATTTTAAAAATGTTATTATTTAAGTTTGTTTTAGAATGTGTAAAATTCCAAAATATCTCATGAAAAAAAAGAGAAGCAAATGGATTTAAGGGCTTTAAATAGAAAAAATTAGATAAATAAGCATTGGATCAAATTCATTCATTTTTAAACATATAGAAATGAAAAATTAGCGATATCTTTATCGAATTTAATACATTATTTAAAAAAATTGCTGGCAAAATAGTATTTTAGTCAGTGTCTATACAGAAAGATTTGTGTGTCTTAATCTGTGAAGTAACTTTCGCTATAAATTGCTGTACATTCTTCTCTTATGTTATCACCTGAATTTCAGGTTGATAAACAGTCCACAATGAAGATGTGCATATGAAAAGATCCCAACCGCTTGTGGATCCTGAGAGAATAGAATAACTAACGCTCTGCGGGATCCAATAGGATGTGTTCATTATCAAAGTAAGACCTCGAGAACATGCACTCTGTGATAATCTGAATCTGCCAACTCCAGATTCCGTTGGACCAAAAATGTCAGAGTTTTCGTGCGAAACGCATCGCCGGAAAGTGCAAACATGAGAATCCGACGGACCAAAACGAGAAACTGCGGCGCACCGCCGCGTTTCGCAGCCGACGGACGGACGTGCGTCGTCCGGAAGTGCACTTTGGCAAAGACGTGGATTCCGGGATGACGACCGTGATCCAGGGTTTAAGCCACTGCAAGCCCCGGACGGGAAAGAAAGAGCGTCGCAGGTGACCGCGGGGCCTGTGACAGTGAGCTGAGGTTTATGCGTCACTGCCAATTCCAGCGCCAGCAAATTCCCAATTCACAATGCCGAGCTCGAGCTCGAATTCGCAGCAGATTTGAGGTTGTGCACGGACAGCGCAGGGAGGCCTGACCATGGCGAGTGGCCGGAATGCGTAGAGCTCCGGGGCGGAATACTTCTCGACATGGATCGTTGCTGCATTTTTGCATCAGTTTCTGCTCCTACCTGTCAATTCCGCGGAGTCGGTAGTGGAACTCGATTGCTTCGGCTGTCTGGAAAGTCTCGAGGGTTGCGCTCGTGGAGGCCGAGTGAAAGCGGTTGGAAATTTGGCCTGAATTCCGCGCTTCCAGTTGGTCGAAGTTGGAGGATAGCACCTTCGAGTTCCGACTATGTCCGACGGATTTCGACTGTCAGATGTGCTACGAAAGAGCCCGAGACCAGAGATGAGCGGCAGAAGGAGTCTGCCCAAAGCTCAGGGAGTTCCAGAGCTGCTGGAAGTAAAAAGGTGGATCCTGTAGGAATTTTGAAGGGACTGGACCCGCTGATTGCTAAGCCACTGGCTATTTTCCTTCGTGAAAGGTATGTGGATAGTGCTGTGGCTCTAAATAATTCATGATCGTTCTGTTCCAGCTCCAGCTCCAGTTGATTGCTCGCCGTGTTCAGATGGACTTCTGCAGTTTTGAAAACTTTTGTCGGGGATGTGGGCTCACAGGTACAGGACCTACAAGGTTTTGAAGGAAAAAATATCGGAAGACGACGATGGGTTAGCGGAGTTTGCTTTAGGGTAGATCTCTTCCTGCAACCTGAACCGATTTCCTTTTTATCAAGTGGCGAGTGATGTAGGAGGCTGCTCGTGAGGTCACACGTTTATGACAAAAGTCGAAGAATACACATTTACTCCACAGTTCAGACAATCTAATTCCAGCTTGTGTCGAGTCAAGAAATATTTCTTGACTCGACATTTTGTCATTCCTATGATTGTGCTAAAACTGTAGTTCATGTTGTGGAAGGAGAATGACTAATGATCACATACATACACGAACTTTTGTCACAGCTATGAAGTTATGGGACTAAAACGTCATCCTCGGCATGGAGTTGAGTTTTATGAATGGGCTCCTGGTAAATATTTTGCGATGCTTTTGGTTGTAGAAGATAAAACTGCGCTGAAAATGACTTTCTACCAGGCAGTTAAGAAATGGTAATTGTATCCCTCTGTCAAGTTTGCATTGCATGACGAGCTGGTTCACGAATTGCACGCCCTGTTTCCCTGCAGCCGCGCATTTCTGTTCTCTCGTCGGAGACTTCAACGATTGGGTCCATCGGGCGAATTGCGCTGGAGAATATTACTTGGGGCGGGATGACTTTGGTCACTGGCGTATATTTGTGGAAGATAACCTTAGGGAAGGAGAGGAGGAATCAGAAGATGATGAAACACAAGAGTATAACTACATGGTTGATTTTGATAAGGGAGACGAGGACCAAGGTATGGACGAAGTTTTTGCTCGATCTAATAATGAGTACTGGGAGCCTGGAGAAGAGATGCCGAACGATCTTGAGGCTCTTGCCATGGACATTTGGAACGAGATAAATAAAAGGAAACAGGGTGGGATGCAAGAAGAACAAGAGGAACAAGAAGAGGAGGACGAGGAAGACTATGACGATGATCGGGATGAAGATGATGACACTGAATCGCTGTCAGAGGATGACGAAGATGATGATCCAGAAGCTTTAATGAAACGTTTTGGAGACTCTGCGGAAGATTTGGACGCTGTCCAGGAAGCAGGAACAGTTGACGAAGAAGAGCCGGATTTTGTATATTCTAACTCTAAACAGACTAGAAAAAAGAATCGGTCTCATCACGTTGACGACGCTAGAGAAAGGTATGAAAAGTGGAAGGCTAGCGATGAGTATGTAGACAATGGATTACCACCTGTAGATATAATCGACGAGGGAGTTTCACCAGGAGAGCTAACTGTGGTCGAAGACCCTGTATGGGAAAAGAGAGTTGATGAAAAAACACCTCCTTTTCCGTACTGGGAGTTGATCGTGAAGGGAAGGAAAGCTTGGGAGAAACGGTACTCACCTGGCATACCTCATCTGGGGCGTTATCGTGTGTATCTGCATACACCAGATGGTCCTATGGAGCGCGTTTCTGCCTGGGCAAACTACGTTCTACCTGGTATAGTTTTGGCTCTAAAAATCATCTCTGTATATACTCAGGTTGATGAACTCTATCATGTTTACTATTCCTATAACGTCTTCGGTCCTACATGCTCAGCAACTCTTGTAATCAGCATCTAGGCACGAAATACTTGAAGAGTGGCATCATGGTACTTGTTCTATGATAAGTCCCGATAACAATTCCAATCTCCGTGCTTATATATGATGATCAACAGTTCTGCATGGATACCCAGGCTTCTGTTGTCAAGATTTGGTAGACCTTTGTGATGTTCTATGTCCTTCAGGCTCTGACTGGCAAATACTGATCACTACAGTTTGTATATAGTAATGGAAGCTGCTATTGAAACTTGCCCTTTATCTAGATAAGGAAGGTGGGACGTACAGTGGAGTTTTCTGGGATCCACCACCAGAGGTCAGACATAAGTGGTGCAATCAAAGGCCTGCAAGACCTTCAACCCTCCGAATATATGAATGTCATGTTGGAATCAGTGGTGGGGATCCTCGGGTTGCGACATATGCTGATTTTATCTCTAAGGCAAGTACTGTACATAGTTTCGTCTGACGATCAAACCTTGGCGATAGTATTGCAGATGCCATCTATACTCGTTGTATGTGCGTAAGCTTCCAACATCATTGCCGTTCTAAAGTGTCTGACTATACAGCGTCCCGCGTTTAGATACAATATTTTTCTCTAAACTTTAGCTGCTTGCAGGTCCTTCCTCATGTTAAAGAATCCGGGTATAATGCAATTCAGCTTATCGGAATTCAAGAACATGCTGAGTACTCCAGTGTCGGATATAAGGTGAGAATTACTGTAATGAGAATTGACCTTATCATGGGCTTCCTATCTTTCTACCAAAAAAAAGTCACGCTTACTAACTTCGCAGTTAGTAAGTTTAATTGATACGAAAAGCGTTGAATCGCGTTGGTTTCATGGTTGTTTGGGATATGACAGGTGACAAATATGTTTGCAACAAGTAGCCGATTCGGCACGCCAGAAGACTTCAAGCGCCTAGTGGACTCTGCCCATGGTCAGCTTACTACTCATCCATTTCTGGCTTTCACTGCTGGTTGGTGCGTTTGGGGAGGACTTGAAACGCTAGCAGTTTTTTTCTAAATATACACTCAGCATATCATTTGAGTGGCTTATTAGCTGGAACTCTACTACTTTGCCTTACCTTCTTGCCTAGATTCTTTCTGCACCAATAACTTCCAAACATGACAGAAATAATCTTGCTCTATGATACGACTTGCGATGCAGGATTAGGATTGCTTGTATTTATGGACATTGTTCATTCGCATGCTGCACCAAACGAAATGAATGGATTAGCAGCTTTTGATGGCTCAGCTGATTGTTACTTCTTCCCTGGTACGTTCTGCCATCATCTCCTGTTTTGGTTTTGTTTTATAGTTATCTAATTTGCTGGAAAAGTTTCAGTTTATCATTTTCATTTGACTCTGAATCGCGTTGACAAAACTGTTGTTTCTTTTCCGAATTGCAGGTCTCATGCATGTAGTATGCAATGTGTCAGTAGTCTAATATGCTTCACACGCCTCTCTTAGTTAATTACATCATTGTATGGCAATGTAGGACCTAAAAAGTTTCATCGATCTGCTGAATCATGCGATATTTGGGATGGACACCACTAACTTTGTCAAGTTCTGCCAGGGAAGAGAGGCACTCACAAGCGTTGGGGCACTCGAATGTTCAGATACGGGGATTATGAAGTTCTTAGATATCTACTGTCAAATTTGAAATGGTGAGTTCTACGTCCTGAGTTTTACTCGCTTTTGGCCACCCAAGAGTTGTTTGTGCAATGCAAGTGTCATCGCCCGGTCCCTGTATGAAAGCTTGCAAACATGAAGACCTTCTCTTGCTAAGTGCGGGACGTTAGGTAAAACTTAGAACAATTTCCTTCTACATCCGTACCTTCTAACAAGTGTGACTTTGGAGTCTTCAGGTGGGTCGAAGAGTATCAAGTCGACGGTTTCCACTTTCACTCCGTGAATTCGATGCTCTACACTCATAATGGTCTATCAGACTTCTCCAACGGTGTACAAGAGTGAGTTGAAAATTTCTTGAATCTTGCTCAAAACACTCGGTGACAGAGAGCTGTTGCATTTGGCAGTCCTAGGTCAAATGGTCTTTTATGCTTTGCACGCTGGAATGAAATGCTAATGAGTCTAATGAAAACCTAAACCCTATTGTTTTTGCAGCTTTTGTAATCAGTACGTTGACAAGGACGCTCAGATCTACCTAATGCTGGCCAATGAGATGCTGCATCAGCTAAATCCTAATATAGTCACCATCGCAGAAGATGTATGACGAACACATACACATTGCCCAAATTGAATACGGTTAATTTATGTGCATGGCATTTTCTCTGGAATTTCTCTTATCGTCTTGAATACAGTCAGTTAGTTCAAGATGTGATGTAGCATCCACCTTTACATAGTTCTCAGAACAGATCACAAGGTCTCGGCTTCAAGTCTAGGTCAGTTGATTTTGCTCAAGTGCTCCCCGATGTGGAAAGAAGTCGAAGGAGCGTGATGCTTGATCACGTATTGGTCCTGACAAAACTGAACATACTTTTTCTTACCGGTGTAGGTGACTGTGTATCCTGGGCTCTGTGAACCTATCAATCAAGGTGGCCTGGGGTTTGACTACAGCGTCAACATTTTACCCTCTGAACTGTGGCCACATATTATTGCAAATGTCCCCGATGAAGAATGGAGCATGACTCAGGTAAAAGCCGTAATCAAACTGACCGTCGTTTAATCTGTGATTAAGAGTACGTTGTGCAAGGACTTCTCTTACGTTCGGAATGTGGATTATGGACTGAGCCCTTTTCTCCTCCTGAACTATTATTGTCCATCTTTAACATGAGTGGAACCACCTGTCGGCGATTTGCAGATTGTCAAAGCTTTGAAAGCTGATCCAAGAAGTTTGAACAAAACACTTATCTACACAGAAAATCACAATCAGGTACTTTTAGCATCCCATGTGCTCACAGGCCTTAGCTGACGTAGCAACATGTAAAATCAATCGAAGGTTCTGAGATGCGAAGGCCAAATTGACCGTGGTATAACTTTCGGCCTTCGTTAGCTGAACAGCTACTTACATATGTTGGATGTTTGCTCCAGTCCGTCGTTGGCGGTAAATCTCTTGCAGAGTTGCTGCTTTATGGTGCCATGAGTAAGAAGGAGAAGCTATCGAAGGACAGCTCCCCGTGGAGTCGTGGGTTTGCGCTGCTGAAGGTTCTCTCTCTGGACTCTGATCTTGTATATCCGCGCTATCTTCCGTTGGTAGACAAGATGCTTGGAATATTTCTGCTGGCAATGAGCTAATAAATGTTAGGTCTTTTTACAGATGATCAAGCTGATCACTTTGACACTCGGAGGAAGTGCATATCTCACGTTTATGGGCAACGAATTTGGTCATCCTGAGGTGACGTTATTGCGTTAGAGCAACAGGACGTTTAAGTCGGATGGTTGAGTCGGTAGCGCTTTTAGTGTTGTGCGTTCAGTTGTCATTGTTCGAACGCATATATCCTATATTTGTTGGCATTATTATTACAGTCTTGTAAGCTCAGGACACATTTATCTCCCTGTATTTAGCGTCAATTATGGCAGCCATTCAACTCTCGTTGTAAACTCAGAAATATCTTGATTGCGTTCTCCATCCAATTTTTTCCTCCTTTAGATTTATGAATCAAACATTTGTGTTGTTTATTCTTTGGCAGTTTGTAGAGTTTCCAAGATCCTCCAATCGTTATTCATATGAACGTGCTCGACGGCAGTGGGATCTTTTGGAGGATAATGGTCCCCATAGTCAACTCGCCTGCTTTGATAGGGTGAGTTTTGGGAAGGCATTCAATGGTTTTTATGTACTATTGGAATGCTCCCGCTGCGCTATCAGCTTAACTTGTTTCCGAAAAAATGGCTGTACAAATATGCTACGTGAAACATTCATGACATGTGGTACTGGCAGGCACTGATGAAGCTGGATGAGACCGAAATTATACAAGCTAGCGGACCCGTGACTCTTTGTCACGTGGACGACGCCACGAAGGTGCTTGCTTAGATCTCAATCTGCTTTAAACTAGTTCCAGTTTTACCCTTTGAAAAACAGCAGAAACAGTTCAAAGTCGTTCTTTGTCGCCTTGAAGTAGGCCCTGTTACATCACAGATATCTGTGGAGATCATTCGTGAGTTTATTATAGTTGCCGTTAATGCTTATGTTGAGTGCATTGAATGGAGCTGACGATCAGGATTCCTACTTTTGAACTTGATGTACAGGTCATAACTTACAAGCGTGGAACATTACTTTTTGCATTCAACTTTCATCACAAAAATTTCTACGAAGTATACAGAGTGGGAGTACCGGAGGCCGGTGAATTTAAGGTAGGAGAACAATCATGGCTTTAGTTGCGATCTTATAAAATAGTTCGTGTGTTTCGTAAGGAGCAGAGTTTACAAAGCTATAACTATCTGTCGAGTTTCTGACTGGATCTAACAAATATGTCTTTGGATGCCGCAGAGAATTTTAGACACAGACTTGAAGGAGTTCGGAGGTACTGATCAGTTAGAAACTGAGCCATCAGTGTTGAGTACTTCTCGGGGAAGGTAAAGTAAACCTGATACTTTGCAAAAGCATTTCTTAGTTTTGAATTGAGAATGCTAGGTCTTGGGCATTGATTATTCAAGTCAAGTTTTTGTCCAGACTGGACCACTGAGTTTTGGCCTTGAGGTGTATTTCGCACTCGTTTTTGTCTAGTAATGATTGTTTTTAAATCAATCAGGAACAACCACTATAAAATTTGTAATGTCTGCTCGTCTCATCATGATGAGACTAGCTTGTGTCAGCTAGTTTGATAGCTTTTTTATTCTTTTTTTTTCCACTGAAGCTCCATCACATACTCCAATGTCTTGGAAGTCTTTATCGGAAGACAGAAACTGAGGTTGGGGTTGTATTTTGATTATTACCTGTCATCGATTATCTCTAAAGTGTGATTGTCAAAGCTATCACCGTGTGTTGGATTGTCCTCTTTATATTTAGCTTCAAGATGTAAACTTAATATTTAGCTTGTGACATCGTATGGCTAATCAAGAGTGATGTATAATGTCTTACGCAGGTTGGATAAATTTGACAATAATTTGGCTTTGCAGTTACCTCCACGAACAGCTCAAGTAAGTAGTAAACACCAATTGCAGGAAGTTTGAAATTATACCCAACTTGTAATGTAAATCATCGTCAGCGAGATGAATACCATATCTGCCTGCAATGCACATCGCATGTTCTTTTGTCATATTTTTACTAGTCGTTAAAAGATGTACGTCTTCTTTAGGAAAAGCGTTAGTGACTGCTTACTTGCAACGAGTCCTCGGTTGTGTCAACGTTAACAACGGGATGATTTTCATACCTGCAGGTGTACAGATTAGGTCGTATATGGGAGTAAGGAATTAAAGTAGAGGATAGCAATTTTGTAGAGGCCTTTTTTTTGTAGAAGCTTAGAGACCTTTCGCTTCCTACTAGCTCTCTTATAAGTGCCAAGTACGGTCCAATGTAGTACAGACGTACGTGCAGGAACAAGGTCGCAGTCAAGCTACTTTCCTACCTACAGTACGGTAGCTTACTTAATGTACTCGTTCTCTTTCATGGAGTAAATGCTCAGGGACGTTCCGTTGCTCCTGTAGGCTAACATGAGGCTAGATCGCCTCGATGCCAAACATGTTCACACGACGCACACACAGCAGGAATATTACAAGGATGATTTTAATCTCTTCTACGGTGTGATTTATGTGCGTGAAGACCGAGAGCATTCAACTCGCAAAACAGCCGGCTTTTGAAACATATTTTTGAAAGCAATTCGTTCACCATTCCTAGTACCGGGAATCTAGAGAAAAGAGGAAGGAGTCTCTGTATCAAAAATCATTCTATAACCGAATTGTATAAATGTGGAATGTGGACGCCAGGCGAGACGACACAGTAAGAACGTCTCAGTTGGTTAACACAATTTACACATGAAGCTGCGAAACGTGGAAAGAAAAAGAGACAGGGTCGTCTGCATAAAAATCTCCGAGGGCCGCGAATCTATGATCGTTGCTGACTCCTTTGTTCTTTCTCATTTTTAACGACTGCGTTGTCTTATCGGGTGTTATTTATTGGAATCTTCCATGTTGAGACGTTTGACGACGTACGAAGAATCAAGTTGAAACATTCTGCCTGCACGCGGCGTCTTGTCAATGTGGAAGAGAAAGACTGGAGTTAACGCTACATGGTCAGAGCTCATTCAGTGCCCACGACTCCAGTAAAGAAGATGAACTGGATTCAATAGCTGGCCCACGTATTCTACCTGTTCAAAATCAATATAATCCCATAAGAAAGACGGGTGTGCATGATAAAAGATTTCTATCAGTAAAATACAACGTGCAGTCTTGACGGAGGTTTTGCATGGGGCCGTTCTTGATTTCACGTGAGGTGATTATTGTTGTGCCTGGTGCTCTCTGACTAAAAAATATCTCGCAGTGAAGGTAGCTCGCGCACGATCCAGACCTCAATGTTCCGGCCCTCGTGCCTGAAATCCATCTATGTCAACCCCCCAGATCTTATCCCCGTGTCTGTATGTGGAGGTGGCTCGCAAGGCAGTTGCGAGTGTCAACATGAACTCTCCTCACATGAAAACACGAACCGCAGCATCCATCTCGGAACGGCTTTCCAACCCCACGTGCATGAATTTCATGTCGAAGTGTCATTCCTGAAATGTTTTTATTTGTCTAGTCTCAAGGATTCACATTCATAATCGACAAGTGTGTGCATATGACTTTGCTCTACCTAACGCAGAGTTTAGTCTTGAATACGTTCTGGATAGAAAGTCGGTAGAAACCAAAAAGTCTGAATATCAAATAGAACGTCTTCTGAAGTGCAATGTAATGGGTGCTTCGAGTTTAGAACTAATTTATGGTTCATTCAACTAGGTTAGCCACTGCTATATAATTGTGTCGCAAAATCTCTTTGAAATATTTATAAAGGATCATGTGTGGGACGAGTAACTTAGTTGAGGGAATATTTCTTGTGTAGAATGTGTTGGGAATCTTTGAATATCGATGAGATATTCAAAGATCTTACACTTCAGAGACTTTGGTTTCTTTGCCATTCTAGATGAATGTTACTGCTTTGATACCTTTGACACATACTTTAATCCCAAATTCAAGAATAGAAAAATTTGAGTGACTGAAAATTTCTATTTGTCTATTGATTGCTTTCATGATAATTCTATGAACAGTCTTGTAAAATCACCGTCAAAGTGTTGCCTTGGATGCAGAAAAGCTCAACTACGGGCTATGGTCAAGATCGAAGGGAAGTAAATTTTTTTTGCAGATTTCAGTTGATTACTATTTTATAAATTCCATCGAGCATTGAATCGAAATCAGCCTGATTAAATATAGGGTTATTTATCACAACAATCATTTTGTTTGATACGTGGAAAAATTTATTGTCGGGTCCATAACGTTAAGCTCTTGTAATTTTGATGATAGGATATTGGCCAACAGTAAGTACCTTTTTTCACTAAACTTGTCACTAGGGCCTCAAATGTGTTTATACAAACAGCTCATGTTTGTCAACAGGAGCTGAGATTTGGTGGTCTTGTTCACAACGGCCGGGCGCACATACCTGCAAATTTTCAGCCTCAACGGAGCTGCTGTCAAGAAGTTGTCATTTCGAAACTTTGAGTTTAGGGGTTTGAGCATGAATCTTGCGGGGGCCATATCTTCTTGCTGGAGTGTCAACAAAAGCTGAGATTTGATGAGCTTGTTCACAACGGCCGAGCGCACATATCTGCAAATTTTCAGCCTCAACGGAGCTGCTGTCAATAAGTTTTCATTTCGAAACTTTGAGTTTGTGTAACATCTTGCAAAGTTGGGTTCATGATGGATTTTGAAAACAAAATTCTCAATCTTGTGCAAACGGTTTTGGAGGAATTGAAAGTGCTACGCCAAGAATTCAAGGCACAAAATTTTGCTTTGGCTGCTGCAAAGAATGAAATCCGGGAGTTGAAGATTTCTCACAAAAGTTTTGAGAAGATCATGCTCCAAATCTAAGGATCTGTTGAGGACATTCAAGACAAGGTTGGTTCTCAAGCTTCTACTGTTACTACTCCTGCTTTGCATGAAGTGGTTGAAAATCTAGAGGTGAAAATGAAGTCCTATGCTGAAGCTACCAAGTCTGCTCATATCTCTTCCTGTCAAGAGCAAGAGATTGAAAAGGCTAATCAATTTGCTCGTATGAAGATTGTGAGGATTTCGGGTTTACCTGAATCTGAGAAGGAAGAGGTGAAGAGTGTGGTCACCAAGTTCTTGACTGAAACACTTGATGTTCCTAATCCGGATTTGGCTCAAGCTTATCGTATTGGCAACAAAGGCGCACAACCTCGTGCCATTATTGTTAAGTTTGTGGATCAAACTCAACGTGATATGGCTTTAGCTAACAAGGCCATTCTCAAGGGACAGAGGATTTGGTTAGATCCAGATCTTACACCTCTTCAAGTTGAAGCAAGGAGGAAGGAGCTTGCAAAAGTCAAAGAAGCTCAAGATGCAGGTTTCGTAGCTTATCTGCGTGATAGTCAAGCTATTATCACCAAGAGGAGGAAACAATCATCAACCTAGCAATCCAAGAGATTGAGGGTGTTGATGTGGAACATAAGAGGCCTATCTACAACTAAGTATATGAATGCACATCCGATTTGGAAGATGGCGGACATCCTCAACATTGTTGAGAGTTGGGAGCATGAAAGTAATGTTATTGGAGAGATACAAGGGTTTACTCTCGTGGGATCTACTTGGAACCATAAAAATCGACTTGGAGGAAGAGGCTTTGGAGTCATTGCTACTTTCATCAGATCTGAACTTCTTCCTATGATACATTGGAAAGCCAAGATATTGGGAAACAATATCATTGGCTTCGTCTTGGATTGATTGGAGGATCTTACAGTTATTTGGCAGTTTGTTACTTTGCACCATTATCCATGCAGATCTACTCCACAAACACTTGCAATCGAAGTCAACCATTCCATCGGCTCATAGGAGATGTTCTCAAATATCAAGACAAAAGTGAAGTTTTTCTTGTTGGAGACTTCAATGCCCGCATACGTTCTGCTCAATTTACACAATTTGATAGTTCCTTGTCTTCTCCCTTTTTTGAAGAAAGTAGAGATAGTTTGTGGTCTAGAGTCTTTTGTGACCCTTGTAAAAATGATTTGACTGAGCATTTCTTGACTTTTGGAGCCACTTGTAATATGAAAGTTCTCAATGGTGTTTCTTTCTTTCCCAACTCTCACTCCAATACATGTTTTTCCTCTACTGGTGTTAGCACTATAGATTATCTTTTGTCCTCTGCCACTAATAGTTCATGTATCTCAGCGTTTGATATTCTAGAGTCTCAACCAGAATCAGATCATACACCTCTTTTATTTACTCTTTTGTTGTCAACGTCAATACCTCCTTCTACATGTCACTATGTTTCTACTTCCCCCAAGTTTTGTCTAGATGCTAGTAAGAAGCAACTTTATAGTGAACATTTCCAAGACCTCTTAACTCGTACTACTTGGAGCTTTGATCCACATACATCTAGTTTGCAACTAACCGAGTTGCTCAAAAACTCTGCTTCTAAGTTCTTTTTGAGACATAAGACCAGGAGAGCTAGAGGTCTTCCTTGCAATGGATGGTTTGACTTTGATTGCAAGCAAACGAGGGCGAGATTACTTGATAAATCTTTGGATCTTCACAATTGGTTGATTATGACAAGACTTTACAAAGACTTGATAAAGTCTAAGAAACGAGCATTTTTGAGGCAGAAGCAAAAGTGCTTGATAAAGGAGCTCTTGGAGAATCCCAAATCCTTTTGGAGGCGGTTGGCAGTACGATCTTCTAAACCTACTCTTGATCCCAAGTCTTTGATTTCTTTTGCTGAAAAGCTATATTTTCTTTCCAATGTTGCGTCAATGCCACATTGTGAAGGAAATCCAGGATTATTTTCAAAAGTTGAAGTGATGACTCAACTCAGACAATTGGAAAATGGTAAATGTGATTATTTGGATGGTCTTTCCATTGAACTTCTCAAGTGGGGAGGAGATGCTATTGGGCCTATACTCACGAAAGTGTTAGAGGATGCTGCTATTCATGGCTTTCCTTCATCTTGGTATCTACGGAAGATTGTTCCTATTCACAAATTTGGGAGCAAGGCTTTGGTGACAAACTATCACACTATCATGATGAGTAGTATTTTTCCCAAGTTATTTGGCAAATTGGTGGAGTCAAAGTTGAGCACATGGGCTGAATCTTGTCAGAAGAGAGCGCGGTTCCAAGCTGGTTTTCGTCCTACATTCAACATTATAGACCATATCTTGGTTTTACGTGTTCTATGGGAGAAATCCAAGAGTAATGGAAAAGCTTTGTTTTGTGCCTTCATTGATTTCAAGAAAGCTTTTGACATAGTACCCCGTGAGCTTTTATGGCAAAGATTGCAAACCATTAGAGTACCATCAGATCTCTTAGTAGCGGTGGGTACATTATACCACTCATTTCGGACCAAGATCAACACTTATCAAACTGAAGAGATTATCAGCACCATTGGAGTCATTCAAAGTTGTACTCTCTCTCCTACTCTCTTTGGAGTTTTCATAGATGATATATTAAGGTGGTTGGAGGATTGTGATAGCGAAGGTGTTAAACTTGGAGGCTTTGTCATCAAAGCTCTTTTGAATACAGATGATGTCATATTACTAGCACGTGATGCCATTAGTTTATAGAAACACCTTGACACTTTGGCTAGCTTTTGTACTCAAAATCAGATGGAGGTCAATTTGGAGAAGACCAAAGTCATTCTTGTGGGCACTAGATCCAAGCTTTCTTTTTGTTACAAAGGATTAGAGTTGGAACAAATGAAAAGTTACAAATATTTGGACATTGATTTCTCATCTGATTATAGTTGGGCACTTTGTGTGCAAAAGAGGGTAGAAGCTGGTTTCAAAGCTTTATATTCATTGCTAAATAGATGTAGAGGAGCTCATCAGTGTCTTGGAGTCTTAGCAAATTCTTATTCAGGAGCTTAGTGCTTCCCGTTATCTTATATGGAACACAAGTGTGGGGTCCTGGTTGTAAGAAGACAGGTTGGCAGCGTTTGGAGAGAGTGCAAAAGATTTTCTTACAAGAAGAATTGGGTGTGAGGACCCAAACTTCTTATGCAATTCTTCTTGCGGAAACAGGTTGTCTACCTCCTGAGGCTGAAGCTCTCTTTTTTACTATCACTTACGTCAAAAGAGTGAGATCTCTTGATGCTTCTCGACTTCCTCTTGAAGCTTTGCGTGCCACACGTTCCAAAGGGTGGTTTGCAGATGTGGTGACTTGGTCTTTGAGGTGGAATGTGATGGAACTCGATTGGGATTTGCAACCTATTGCCCTACGCGAGCGTATTAAGGAGGAATTTCTCAGCATTATGTGGAGCAGACGAGACACCAAGATGCAGTTTTATCAACTTCATGTGAATCCTATGCTTGTTTATTCTGAGCAAGGATACTTACTTGCTGAGATATCTACTTCTTTATGTCATATTATTGCTAGACATAGAATAGGATCTCATAGTCTTGGGATTGAAGAAGGGCGTTGGTTGAACATTGATAAGAGTGAATGTATTTGTAGGCTATGTGATGGTAGAAAAGTTGAGGATGAAAGCATGTATTTCTTACTTGTTCTAGATATGTTGAGATTAGAGTGGCTCATAAAGTTGTTGTTGAGAATTTTTATTCTTTGCTTCAGCTTGAGTCTTATGATTTAGGTTGTTATATTAGGGATGTTATTTGTTACCGTTCTAGTGTTTTGGACACTAGCTAGAGTGTTCTTTTGGTTCTCTCCTTGTTTGGGGTTGGATTTTTTGTATTGTGTTATTTAGCATTCTGACCCTTTGGGTACCACGGGCTTGATCTATTTACCATATAAGACCGCTATTGGTTGTAACATGGTTTTGGTGGTTGGGTACATGTTCGCCAACTTATGTAAATCACACATGACGTAAATCCACTATCTTCTTTTCAAGTGGTTCATATTGTTCATGTACGATCCACAAAGCATCTAGTTGATATCATTCCTCTTCCTCCTATTTTAACCCTTACTCCAAATTTGAGTACTCACATAATTATTTACGAGTTTTCAAGTATAGAAAATTACATAAGGAGACATAGAGAGCTAGAGATCACAAAGTAGAGAGCTATAGAGGGAAAAAGAGAAAGGGGAGGTGAAGAGAACCATGTTGATTTGATAGTGCATTAATTCACATTTTAAAATCAAATCTTCTAAATTTGTACGTAGCTACGTTGGGGCATTATGTTCAACCCCACGTGACTGTACACGGACACTGTCCCATGCTATAAGACAAAGCTTGTGCAGCTGGTTGTAACTGAAAATCAATATTAAAAATTAAAATTCTACTTTCCATTCAAACACGAACTTCAAACCATATATTTTATATCAATGTCAATGGATTTCACAGTCTCCGGCACAGCATCCATATCCATATGCGCAAAGCAGGGACGTGGCGTCTGGACGCTGGATAAGTGAAAACAAAAAGATTAAAAGTGGGCACCAAGCCGTACATGGATGAAACCAAACCAAGCGAGTAACTTGGGCTACGCTTCAGTGCTAACTATGTCATCTAACCGCATCCACAAACTACGTAGACCATAAGCGCAACCTCGCTTTCAGTCGACGTAGTCGGACGCTGTGTCGTCCTGTCACTCTCGAAGAGCAAACTTGCCGCCAAATTCACACGAGATTTTAATGTTTAGATTCAGTATTAAAAATAATGGATAGTAGTAAATTCGCTCGAGCGATGTCGCTGCTTAGGGATGCATTCCACTCGTGCGATTGTCAGCTCCCACGAAGAAGAAGAAGAAGGAGCTGAAGTTGTAGTAGAAGTGCAGTGCATCGCCAGACCTGAACGATGGAATCGCCCCGAGCGTCGGCCGAATTTAGCAAAATGGGAGGAGAAATGTCGAGGGCTGGCTGATTGATTCCCTTCGCCGACCCAGGTCTTATCCAAAGGTGCGGCCGGTGGAGGAAATCAGAGCTCGGGCACGCTGTAGCATCTGATCTGCTCTGATCTAGAAGTCCCTGCCGTATTGAAGGCCGTAGAAGCGCTCGTCACCGCATCTGGGCACTCGAGTGGCGAGCTGAGGCGACAGATCAATGGGCAGGTAGAAGGCGTAGAACGCTGTGAATCTGGAGCGGAAAATGTCGTTCAACTTGGCGGGGTAGGTCGATCCTGGAGCCAAGCCCGTCTGTGTTCCGAACCTCTGAATGTAGTCCGACGAGGCGTAGTTCCTGCGCACATTCCATCCATTGTCCATTTGGTCAGTGGTCACGACAGTGAGCAGCAAAAAATTCAGGGAGAAATCAGAGTCTTGCTGATAGCCGGACTCGGACTCCAGAATTCTCCATGCACTGCCAACTGGAGCGACATTCAATACACCTGCTGGCCAGTAGGAAAGCATTCGAGCTGAACGAGCTACTGTGAGAAGTTTGCTGATCAGTGAAATCCTCTGCACGAATTGCAACTTCTCTCGAGTTTGATTGATCGATTAATTGATAGAAGTGAATTAGAAGGTTGTTCAGCAATTGGCAATTCAGCTGGAATCGAAAGATGGAGTGTACTCACGAGCCCTTCATGGTGCTGGTGACGTTGAGAAGCTGGAGAGGAATGGCGAAGCGCTGGAGCACGGACTGGATGGGCTTGGCGGTGACGGAGGCGGCATCGGTGGTTCCGACTCCTTTCTGGTTGGCGAAGAGGCTGAAGGTGACGGAGCCGTCCTTGGCACCGGCCAGAGTTCCGACTTTGGCGAGAGTCTTGTTGAACAGGTTGGCTGACTGCGCGTTGAACACCCACTTGGAGCCGTCATACTTGTACTCCTGGTGGCCGATGGCCAGCAGGTTGGGCGTCAGCAGGCCGCCCCGATCGGGCACGGCGATGCGCGAGTCCAGATCACAGGGCACCGAGAAGTTCACCAGCAGCCCGATGTCCTTCAGAGACAGATTGAAGTCATTGGCAGCAGCTGCGAGCGAGAGTGTCGATGAGAACACCGCCAAGCAGACCAAGAGAACGGCTGCAGCTCCGGGATTCTTCATCTCTGTTCCAGAAGTGAGTGACAGTCAGTCTGAGAGAGCAATCTTCGAGGCTCGAGGGAGATGTATGAGATGAGATGAGGTAAAATGAGATGGCTGTTGTGTCGTTGTGGTGATGATGTCGAGAGTGGTAGCTCGACTTTATACCTGACGGGAGTTCGACGGAAGCTTCTGACTCAGATTGTCGTGAGAGTCGTCGTGTTACACGACAATCTGGGTCAGAAGCCACCGGTGAGATGGCAACATCTGAAGGCCCATCTTTTGCGCTCGGTTCAGGGGGGGCTCCTGGCCCAACACAAAGCCCCACAACGTTGAGTGTGGAATGTTCTAATCTGGAAAGGCGAAAGCTAAGGCAGGCGCAATCTCGACAGTGACAGGCAGAGGTATACCCGAAAACGGATGAAGAAGAAACACATAGCAGTCCTTAATTGATAGACATTAAAATGCCGGAAGACGGGATGCAAACCAAAGAATGCGGATCGTGGCATGATGTGATAATAATGTGCGCTGCGTGACTCGTTCAATGGCGAACTGTGCAGGATTCAGTAGGATTTCGATCCAAGGAGCCGGTCACTCAATCTTCTTACAGTGCAGCTTAAACTCTCCCCGTCGTCGAGCCTAATCTGGCCGCCTGCAATAATGACGGCAGAAGCTCTTCGACTTTCCGTCCCCCTCGGTCGGCAGGCAAGCCGCATCCACATCCACAGATCCGCAGATTGAGAGCTTCATGATTGCTTGCGCACTCCTCCGAGAGCTGTGAGTGAGAGGCATATTCTCTCAACTGCCCTGCATTGTGAACAACTGTCAATTCTCCAAGTCAAGCCTTGAACGAAGGCCGAGTCAAGCTGCATCCGCTCTCGAGCCCATGCCTGATCGACAGGCGGCTCATCTCCATTGTCCAGACTCAGACGAGCCCGGAAATATCATCGAATCGTCAGGCCTGTCTTTTCTATCCACAGTAAAGCTCTCGAGGCATTAATTTTCCATGGGCCCAGGCCGGATTGATTTTTGATCAGCCAGTCTATGAGACCGTCGTCGAATTGAACCTCGTCGTAGCGTTAAGGGTGCCCTGGTAGCCGGTAGAGTATCCGGTAGCCGGTTACCCGCGCTGCCTCGTCATGGCCGAGCAGCTCGCCCGTCACATTCCCTGACACGACTCGCGACGACTTTGCCCCGGACGCGGGGGATAGTGGAGCCGTTGTGGCCGCCCGAGTCAACCGATCCGAGGTCGGGCTCTCATAGGGCCGCCCCGCGGCCTCGGGCTCGGGGCTCGGGGGTTCGAGTTGACGTATTGAGTAGACGCCGGGAGGAGGAAATCGCCAGCTCAGCAGGGAGCAAGATCTGGTGACATTCTGTCTGCTTGATGACGACGACGACGACGACCAGAGCTGCAACAACCTCGAGCTAGGAAGCCGTTTTTGCCGATGGTGGAACCCAGCGGGAGTGCGATCGATCAGCGAGCGATTGGCTAGATCGTCTCAGGTGGTCGTCACCAGTTTCAAGCATGCACCACAAAGATATAAATTCTCCCGGTCGGTCTTTGATTCTCGGTGATACCGTCGCCATCTCTCGGGTCGTCTCATGCGGCGGTGGTATGGGCGAAATGAGCTGTCCGAAGCAGTTCTGTGTGAGGAGAGTCGTGCACAGGCTTGAAAATCTCGTAGTTCCCATAACCACCACATTGCGGTGCATCGACCGAGATGGAACACGGGAGTTACGATATAATGGAGTCTCTGAGATTAGAAGTGAGCCATTTTGCAGTTCGTCGAGGCAATCAAAGGTGCCCCCGTGCGGGCGTGACATGAGGGATCCATCGCTAGAGTGAGGAAGCAGGACGCGCTAGAGTGCAAGGAGAGTTGATGAGTGGTTTAGGAAGGTTCAGAAGAACTTCTGTAAGTGGAGTGAAGCTGATATTATATAGGCACAAAATTCTCGAACGGCAGTGTCAGTGTCACGGGTGAGATGGACACGTCGCGTACACCCATCGAGGATGCATGACAAGAGACAGTATACAACAGAATTTGTACAATGTGTCGAGAAAATCTGATACCAGTTGATGTCAGGTGATCTAGAAGAGGCAGTCAGTGTCGCACTCACCCCTTCTCACCTCCTTGAACTGAACCATCCTCAACACTGACTGTAATTTGAGGAAGTCTCAAATATTCCCTCTTCTATGGTGGCAGCTCTGTTGGAAGGAGTTTGCGCAGCGTGTGGTCCTCATAATACCCTTCCAACTGAGCAGATAAAGATCTCCCACCAACAAGATCAGGAGGCGGATCCTTAGAGGCCCGTGCAACTTTGGGCTGTTGCCCAAAGAATTGAGGTGAAGATGCACATGCCCAGGTTGGCTGTGCCCAGCCCACACCAGCCCCCGGTGAGCTGTTTCTGAACTAAAATCGTGTCTACAACCTAATTCCACGATGGTGTGGAAATGCTATAACTACTTGCAATTGGACAAAGCGATGTCAGAATTCGACACGACTTGGTTCTTACTGAAACAATAGCCATTCTGTATTTGAGGAGACTTCTGCCGTACAGGAGGTGATCTTTGTCGGGGAGAGCGAGATCTGGTAGAGGATGGGCCGGGTGATCGGGGGGGAGAGTGAGTTGATTGAGGTTTAGAAAATTGAGGAGAAGGAGGAGACTGCGACCTAGGATTTTGGGGAGAAGCTCGAGTTTGAGATCTGTCAACGCCTGGTGCTGATCTGCTGAAACTTGTTGCCGTGCTTTTTCCTCCACTGTTATCACCAAATCCGGATCTCACATCAGCGAAAGACAATTGAGGCTTTGGCAGAACTACACCTGATCCCAGTCCAATTTTGGATATCCAGGAGCTCGTATCATCCGGCCAAGATACAGGACCACATGTGTCTGTTTGCAATAAGCACCCTGATCCAGAATGGTTTTCTGCATGGAGGGTTTTGGCTAGATGAGAAGGTCTGTACTGGACCTTGGAACAAGCTGTACTAGTCGAAGGATTGGTGGTGGCGGCAGCTGCAGCAGCTTTTGCTACACAACAAGATCGGGTAGAACTCGTGTAGGCAGAAGGTAATACAGAACTCAGGCTCTTGGCGTTGGTTTTCATATGCATGGATTGTGCGTAAGGTGTACTCGTAATCGAGTACGGCATAGTACTGGATATAGGATACTGAGGTACGAAGGTATTCGATGGGTTGGAGATTCCACCAATACTGTTTGAGGATGAAAGGGAAGTTCCTGTGACAGGAGCGTCAACACCAACCCTGGAAGAGGCAAATCCTGCGCTTGTTGAGTAAGATAGACCATTTGCGGGTCGATACATAAAACGTGATGAAGCGCCACTTGTGCCGATCTTGCCAAGTTGAGCTTCTGTAAGTTGTTGGTTTAACCACCTGCGACAAAATTGCTCTCAATTTAGACTGCAGGCCATTCAATCCTCTTAGACCGGCGCGCTAAGCTGGAGCAGTCATGAAATATTTGGCTTCAAACTGTTTTGTTATCACAGGTTGAGCCTTACGAATCCTCACAGTACGTGAGAATTCGTAAGGCTGCGGTGCATGCACGCACGTGAATAAGCCGCTGCGTGGAAAATTTTGAGCTTACTTCCCAAGTGCATTCTGATTGTTGATCACTAGACACCACAAACATTCTTCCTGCGTCGATTTGTAATTCTCTGGTGAGAAACATTTAGGCTCAACTTACTGGATCATCTGTTGATTGGATTTGACAAGTTCTTGTGCTTCGTCTAGCTTTCCTTGCAGCTCTTCTGACTGGAACACGGAGTCACCGACCAAAAAAATGGTTTCAGAAGAGATAAGTGAAGACATACAATGTCAAGAGATTACTAGGAGTTTTTTAAGATTTGAATGCTTGAAAATTTGTCACGGAAAACACACCTTTTTTTTCAAGCTTTCATTCTCGAGTTTGAGGCGATTTACTTCCTCTTGCAGGTTGGAGATTTCGCTCAATCCCTTCTCAATGGCTGCTTGTTTTTCTTGAATCATAGTGTCTTGCTGTGATGTGACTTGGCCTTTGAGCTTTACTTTTGATTTCATCGAACGGAGTTCCATCTGCAAGGAGATTTAACCGCAAGTTTCCGACCAGCCAAGTTCAAGGCCTCTGTCTCCGATATGGAAACATTTATCATTTACTGCAGTATCATCTACAACCTTATCACTCACTGCAGTACTTAACAATAAGTACTGCAGTAAATGATAATTGGCTTTGGAAAATTTCAATTACCTCGTTTATAACCATTAGGTACTTATATAAGAGTATATTTCAGTATCTCCAGTTGACCCTACGTGATTCAAATTGATTCCGGGTTGGCAGTTGCACCGAAAGAAAGGTTGGAGCAAAATTCTACACAAAGTATAAGCAAAAAGATTCTGAGATGGGACTCGAGGCGGCGTAAATCAGAAACGATGGGAAAACCATGTAATGCAATACCGAAAAAAACGTAGCCGGGAAAAACCCAGCCAGGAGGCAAGCGAAGGGTTCAGAAGAGACACACGGAGATATTTATTCTCTGAACGCACAATCTGACTCGTCCTTGGCCAGTTGATTCCTTCTATTCGAATCTTGAGTAGCCTGCGGAGAACTCACCTGTAGTTTCTCTATAATTTGGTAGCATTTGTTTATCTCGGAGGAGCTTACGGAAGCCCTCTCCTCTGCACGGTCAGCGGCCGCCTGAGCTTCCTTCCATGATCCTTCCAAGGCTGATCTGTGTGTACACCAGGTAAGCAGGACATGTGTCCTCAGCCCGATCCTGTGCCGCATTCTCAAGGCCAAATTCAACAGTAACGTAGTCCCATATCTATACAGAGTTCAAAACTTCGCACGTTGTACTGTACAGAATTTGGTCAACATTATGAAGTTCAGCACACCTGTGAGCTGCCTGGTTTTCCAACTGCATGGTCAAGTTTGACAGCAGGTCGCCCTTGTCCTGAACCTGTGGTGTTTCCAACATGGACAGATCGATAATCATGTTTCAGCACTATTAAGTGTTTATCAAACTTGGAGCACGTTGGTGGAAAGAATGAGAAGAGATAGAAGCCATCCTAGCAAGGACCACAAGCTAGTATGATGGTATAAGAGGATCCGACAACGACGTATTACATTCTTAGCTTTTGTAGGGAGCATGGCACCCTACAAGCTTCACAAAGTTCAAACAATTTAAAAAGTTACAGGATTCTTGAACCGAGAAGCTCTTATCTCTCTTGATGTTCGAAAGGACATCAAGCTATTTGCACTGTCCGTAATAATCTTCACTTTCTCTCTTAAATGTCAGACTACATCATCTAAGCTCAATCAACACTCCCAAGAGAACACCGACTATTACTGCAGTTTTCGTTTAGCATCCCGCAACCTTTCAGATTATAACGTTGTAAATGTTTCATGGTTTAACATTGTGACTGCTATGGCCAGGTAGCCCTTACCTCCTGTTCCAGTGCACTGAGCCGTATAAGATGGCGGTTGAGCTGCTTGGCATTCTCGTGTTTTTCAGAGTCAAGATTGCGGTTCTCCCTTCGTAGGCGCTCACATTCCTGTAGAGAATGGGTCGTGGATTTCATTCAAAAGATTTTATTAGTATTTAGAACTTTGAATGTTAAGGTATCGAGGAATTCAGCATTTTAGACACATCATCATAAAGCATCAGGAGAACATAACCAAAATTCATAGAACGTGGCAATTTTCTCAAATGACAACGGATTCAGTTTCGTATCACAGACTGGCCAATCCTTACCTGCGATTTTTCATCCAGATCTTTCTCAAGCGCCACAAATTTTGTCCGCAATTCTGTAACTTTTGTGTCTAGTTTGTACTTAGTGTCCAAAAGCGTCCGAACCTGATTGGCAAAAGCTTTGCATTAAAACCCATGGACTTAGGAAATGAGTTGAATATGTTGCATGGCAGATGTTCCCGGTGCAATTATGTCTGCATGCAAAGGTGTTGACTGATTTAAGCTGCGAGCTTTCTGTTGAAATAGGCAGTGGTTTATGTCTGGAGACACGGAAAATTACAGGTATAGTTATGCATTCCACATCCGAAGTCTAGCGAGAAGTTTTGACTTGCATTTCTCTTGGGCCTTGACTCTGTGAACCTGGCTTCTCAAAAACATGTGAATTTTAAAGTAAATGAACCTGTTTGTCCAACTCGGTTGCCCGTTCGTGCTGAACGTCAGCCTGTTGCCGGAGTCGACTTTCAAGATCGGCTCGTTCCCTCTCTAGCCTTTCTTTCAGCTCTGCTGTCTCTTGCATCACCTGGATGTTTTCAGGAGAATCCGTTGACAAGTAAATTTCCTTCCTTCTCCACTCTAATGTTGATTCAGTTTCAAAGAAGGCGTCTCTGAGTGTATGGTACACATATATCTGAATAAAGAGTAATATACGGGAGCAACACACATGCTGATTGTATCCCACCTTCTATCAGTAGCTTAGATATTAAACCTTGTGTTTTTCTGTTCAGTTACTCAGAGCTAAAGCTGCAACTTCTGATATATACAGCTCTAGAGAAAGTATATACAATTAGGTTCACCAGCTCAAACGCAATTTGAGTTCATGAAGTACTGAATGCTTCTGATCTTAAAATCTCACCATGTTTGATTGTCAACATCTAATCGAATGGATCCTGTCAACAAATGAACTTACATCACAGAAAATAGGGCTCTAAATCGACATCAAGACGAACCTTCTCTTTTTCATGAGCAATTTCCAGGGTGTACTCAGCCTTCAGCTCGCTGACGGATCGGTTTTGTTTTTCCTTCAGCTCAGCTAATTCACTGCCGAGTTGAATCCATAAATTCTCGTTAATGTTGTGGACTAGATGTAGGTAATGCGTACATCCAACGTTTGATATATCAGACTCTTAGAGCTTCATTGGCAGGGTCTAGCATTTCAGCAGCATATTAGGAAAAGAATCCATCATTGTGGGCTCGTAATGTGCTCAATATTAGAGAGCCCAAATACTTGGGAGAAATCCTTTCAGCAAGTCACACTGCACGAGGAGAAACATGAGATTGCACGAATAGGAAAGTCGGCGCAAGTAAAAGTAGTTGTCACCTGCTGAGGTCGTCAACATCGCGTAATGATTTCTCCAAAGACAGCAGTGTCCTCCTTAGTTTGTCATGTAAATCAAGGTTGATCGCCTGTACGTGATATTAATAAAATGGCTAGCAAAGGAAGAAAGGCTTTTCCTAAAGCCCAATGTCCAGACATGCAAATGCCTCAAGGTAGTGAGCATTAATACTCGTCCTCACTTGATTTTTCACTAATTTCTCCGAACAACTACCTAGCCAGAGCATTAATAATAGCATAATGCAGAAACAAATGTCACATGTTAACTGCACTTTTGCATATTCCTCAAGTGGGGGATGCGAGCCCCAATCTATGGTTCTGGCACTACGAGATGGGTCAAGCACCTTGTACTCAGCTAGCCTTGCAGCAAGATAGCTTTTGATGACTGTATCGTTTCCTTGCCTAAAGCACAGGGAGAGGTGGCTCAAATGTTTGAACTGATTCGTCTCCACGATGCTGAACGTTGAATCCCCAGTTCGCACACTCAACATTGCCAAGAACCTGCTACCAGCAAAGGTCAAAGCTATCAGACTAGCCAAATGTTCTTCCGGTCGTGTTCCTCATCTACGCACCAGAAGGCAGCGACATATGCAAAGCTTTAACCGCGTTTCTAGTTCCAGCGAGAGCAGAATGAATCAGATAATAATCCAATGCATCATGATGTTAAATGGTTATATGTGATTAATTAAATACTCATCTCCAATATCAGAAATCAGAGATTAGATACCATACTTCCACTCCATGACAGTCATCCAACAAAGGTAGGAAACAAGGATCGATGTGCAGCTTGGAGCCCTGGTTTGTTTCTTAAAGATAAGTTTCGTATTCCTTAGGGTCACCAGACATTTTGTTAATCTCGCGAATTTTTACTACAGTCATCACATAACATTTAATAAGGCCCACACCATGATAACTGTTGACGTACCTAGGGCTGTCATTGCATCCCGAGGCGATGCACTGCTCCAGAAGCTCTATAAATTTGTAGGGGAAAGTTGCAAAGTCAACAAGGATGCACTGTTCCACCTTCAAACTTTGAAAGTCGTCCTCGTTTACTTCGAGAGAGTAAAAGAAGAAGGGATCGAGCTCGTTCGTTACCTGAACCTGTAGAACCTGCAAAAGGTTGAGGAGGATGTTAAGCAACTCTGAACATGCTAAGGGCAATTCACAATAACCCCGGAGCCCCAGTGTCTCGTTCTCTTTCCGGCGTTGCGTTTATAAATCTCATTTTTCTCAAACCCAAGTTCCAGTCTATCAGGCTTGGCTTGCGCACATCGTCTTCGGCTGCCGAACCTGCCAGAAATGAACTTGGGCTCGAGAAACATATCTCGTTATCTGAAGGCCCACAGAGTAGAATTACGGAAGCCCCTGATAGCTTTAATCCTGATTGAGTACTAGATTCCCCTGCTGTGAGAGCTTTAAAATTGGAGTGTCAGCTTGTGATCTGCCATATACATCGTCATTATCTGCACTCTATAATCTGTTGGAGTATCAGATTGTTTGTACCTTGGTTGATCTATGCACTTTGCTTATGCCCATAAGAAATCGAATTGTCAAATCCGTGTGTCTTTCTTCCGAGCCACATTTCGTTATTTTGACTGGGATGACTTTCTCAAACAGTGTCGAGCTGCTCTCCACGGTCGTGCTCAGCTTAAACACTTCATCCATTTGGAAGCCCATGATTTCGATCCAGAATCTAACATCTACTTGAGAACAAGCTGCTCATCTAAATATCGTGAACTGAGATTGTTACATGGGTACAAGAGAACATTTGTGGTAAATTGTAATCGTGGAGTCTTCTTGTCTTTTAGCCATAGCTCCACCAGTTCGAGATGTCATCTTCGGATTCACATCCTCTTCCAATTTTATAGCGGAACATGTGGTTCGACTAATCCGTGAAACTGATGTCAAAGCCAAACCATCGAGAATCTCAAAGACTGTTGCCAAGTTCTCGCTCATCACGGCTCAGGGGTAAACAATTTTGAGGTTCTCTAAAGACATTTGCAGTCGCATCCAATCGCGTGACGTTACAATTCGGCAGCAGAAGTTTTCATGTGTAAAGGGAAGATCCCTAGAGCCAAGAAGGTGATGATCGGGATGTTTGTCGAGAAGCACAGATTTGTTGTCAAACTACCATCGAAGAGTAATATTACATCTTTAACCTCCGTAAAGAGCCAATTCAGAGCTCATGGCAGTAATTGGCGATAGCCTTGCACATCAGAAGGCAGCCAGTAAGGATCTCCTGGAAGCACGAGACAACTTTTGCGTCCTGGTCCACGAATCAAACGCGGCTAAACCGCCAAAGCGCTATCAATTTCAGCTTAAGCACGGTCCTCGCCGTCAACCAGATACCTCCACTCCGCGTCTCTGGCTTCTCTCCCCTCCAGTCTACCCATCCTTCGCCATGAAAGCCGAATCCCCGATAACTCACAGACATAACTAACAACGATCTCACAAGTGCTGCTGTTGTTCCAGGTCGCCGTGCCAATTAACCGCAAGAACCGGATTTCTATTCAATTCACCGAAGCGAACGAATGACGTGCGGCACCAACCACTGCGCGCGAGTCAAGCTCCGTTCTGCTTTGGCCGAACGCGAATAGATGTGTCGGCTTATTCGAATTCATAAAAGCTTATGAGCCGAGGCGAGGAACGCAAGCACACGAGGAAGCCTCCGCAGGGCGAGGGAAAGAAATTCGGAGGCTGAGCTGTTGCAGGCAGAAGGGGAATGATCTGTGATTGGGCGGGAAAGGCAGAGAAGGGAAGGGAAGGGAAGGAAGGGATGGGATGGATGCAAAGCATCATCGGATCAGGAGGAGCAGGAGGATCCGGATGTTTAGCAGTTCCGCGAAGAGAAGAAGATGGAAGACGAGGAAGAGAAGGAAGAAGAACGAGAATGGGAAGCAGTTAGACCACGACATGAGCATGTCGCTTTTCCCTCGTCCACGTCGGAGAACAAGTGGCGATACCGTTAGTCTTTCGAGAGCACGTGGAGCGCTCCCATTGCATCGACCCGATAATTTCCTCGGGTATTCACTGCCAGCTCATCCTTCTCCAGCGGACCTAACCCCGCGAGCCCAAACTTTACCGCCAATCTCAACATCATTTGTTGCACATCAGCCGAAACTCAACGAAATTCGGCATCGAGCTATGAGGGGACAATTTTCCCGTTTGCCCCTTGACAAACCGGAGATTCGGCGTCGAGAGAGTTTGGACCTAAGCCAGGTCTATGATCCTGCCTTTCTACGTTACCTGCGCAGCGCTCGAAATTTCTTGCTTGCACTTACTGACACCTTGATGGAGTTTGAGAAGGAGGGACATGGATCGGTCACCTTTTTCTCTCCTCTCCTGTTAATTCGTCAGTTGTGCTGTTCGGCTTCTCCATATGCCAAGCTAAGCAGGTCTTCGAATTCTCTTCTCATCGAATGATAAGGATTCGGAGGATGTGAAGGTTCGCTTCAACCAAACACACTGAACTTCACGCGGTTTTCCGCTCTGCACGTTCAATCAATCAATTATTCCACCAGAACTCGGGGAGGTCAACAAACGTGTGCGCTGAATACAAAAGAAGCTGGATTTCTTGCCGATGGAAGAAGAATGTGTAGTTGACACGAGCCATGCTTGAGGTCTCGAGGATCCATGATGAGACGTCCGACTTGGAGTTCGAATGCTTCGTCCCCAGAGACTTACTTGGCCGGGCATGGCAATGATCGAGGATGACAGGAGTATATTATGGTCTGTACAGGCTTCTGGTAAATCCATTCGTGCATCGATCCCTGGTCCAAATTGCAAGTACTCGAGTGTGAGTATCTTCGTCGTTCTGATTTATTTTTTTAACAATATTTTCGCCAGGATTTGTAAAATATCATAATTCAGTGTTGTTGTCAGCAAGTTCTGGTTTCCATCCAGCTTACATGGACAGTTACATCCAAAATTGATGACCTTTGCTCTGAATGAACGATATAATTGTATCTGATCAGATGTTAATCATTGCATTTGGGTATTATTTGGATCACGTGTACAACTTATGGTGGATAATATTGACTGCGGCCTGCAAGTGCCCCAGATATAGTGACCGGGATGACTGGATGCTCGCTCAGATATACTTATCACCTATATTCGAATGAATGAGGATTGCACTAATGGGGATCACAGCGGGACCCGTGGGATAGCTGTGGTTGATTCAAACCTAATATTTGACATCCTGCCCCACAACAATGAGTATTACCCTTTTTTAAAACCTCATGTTGTCACCTTTAGGAGGCAAGTGGATAGCAGAAGAGATAAGAAGATATCATCAAGCACTTCAGGGGTGAAATTTAATGTTAAACTAGGAGTAAACACCCCTAAAATTGTAATGAGAATGTGTGTCCTACATAGCCTATAATATCCAAAGTACGAGATGAAAGAGTCTGTAATCAACAATGCAACAGTAATATGTGATGTAATCACTCAATTAGATTGGTTTTATGTTTCTATTGAAACATAATGTGGTGTGTCGTATGAACACATGGAAACTCTATTTCTACATAATTGTAATCTGGAGTAAAAATGAAATGACACTTTGTAAATTCATTCTTTTGAAAATGTTGGCTATTGACACTTCACTCGTCGGAGATAAAATGAAGTAACAGTCATATTTGAAAACTTTAAAGTGGATCTCTTGCACCAAGTACAGACTTACCATGAACCTAGATGTGTACATGATATATCAACGCTCGTTTCAAGTAAAACAACCACTGTAACGCAAATATTTCTTTTATAATTGCATGATATAAAACAATGGTCTGTATAAATCAAGTACAAGATATATGTGTTGTATTTACGTGATCTAAAGTAAAGTTGCAATCACACACAAACAATGAAAAGTTGAACAGATCACGAAATTTCATGTTTATTCGAACTCTTGTAACATAAAATAATTAAATATAAGCATTATAAAATATGATGAATAAATATTTAAATTTATATCTTTACAAAAGCAAGAGAAATAACATAATATAAAGATTAAGAACGTACAACTCAAGAAACTGTCAATTGATTGCAAAATATTGATAATTTTATGAAAGAATAAATTTTAAAATCGATAATATTATGTTTTTCATCACACTGAGTATCAAACTTCTTCAAATATACTTATGAATGATGTAATTTTTATTTATTCGTTTCAAATTCAAGAGAGGAAAAGACTCAATACACGATGAGATACAATACTATTATATTCAAAACTAGTCTTCGATATAATTTTAGAATCATCTGTTATAATCTGAGTGATTATACCAAATGCCGATTGAGACTATTACTAATTCTGTATCCACAATATCCAAGAGAGCGAGTTTTAAAATGATATTCACTTAAGTCAGAGGAGGTTGGGACTCTTGGGAAGATGGTTATAAATTTCGTTATATCTGTTATACCAGTTCCATATACATTTCAAGGCTTCAACCTGTCTTAGGGAAGGTAAAGCAGTTGATACTTCTTATTTTGGATTTACTCATTTCACCTCGTTCCGTACTGACGTCAAATGCTCCAACCAGAATGGCATGCAGAAAAACTCTCCTGATGAAAATTGCTGGTCAGATAGTCAGATGCAAGGTTACGTTACGTTTTCTATGTCAATAGTTTACAGGACGCAACATGGTAAATGGCAGAAAAGAATTAATGGCTTTGGTTGTACCTTCTGCGACTCGTGTTCGTTGATTGAGTCCTGTCTACATTGATGAGGGGCCCAGACAGGTTGAAAATTTATGGCATGCACAGATCTTTCCTCTGGAGTTTCGAATCGAGAAGAAAGCGCTCAAGTTCGATGAGATCTGAAGCGCAATCTACAGTCTATTCATCACTTTTTCGTGCAGAAGGTACTTAATGAAAGGAATGACTTCCTTTACGATCATCCCTCTGCTTCATCTGTCGTTCAGTGCATTGAAAAGCAGTTGGCGTCTTCAGTGGATGACATCCTCATGCTCCATCATCTTCAGCAAAATCGCCAAACACAAGAGGTGCTCGCGTACAGCTTCTGAAGATGAACACGAAGTCCATACTCATCAATGAAAAGACGCCACACTCGAAGTGAGGCGCATAGGAACATCATAAGCTTGACAGGAAGGTCAATCACGACTTCAGTCAACTACCACATCATGGAAGGCCCATGTCGTCGGCATCATAGGTACAGTATAGAGATAGAAGCATTTCATGAATGTGGATCTTCTATTTCAGAAACCACTACCTTTCACCAATCTATCATGCTCTTGTTGATGCCAACATGAGGATTTCACACGCAGATGGAGGACGAGACAGTTCATTGCCACACTTTCGCGTGCGTAAAAGTCCCACGTAATCGTAAAAAGAGCTGCAGTTTGTAGTGCAGTCATCTCTCATGAATATCAAGGGAAGAAAGAAACAGAGTATGGGAAGTGCCTCTCTTCGATGTGGTGATCATAAAGAAGAGGTAGCAAGGCACACCATTAAGTCAGCAGAGGAATGATGGAACAGATGGTTCTCCAGACTCATTGAAATGCTCATCACCTGGTGACAGCATCTACCTGTATGACGTACGGCTCTACACTCACTGAATCTTGTTTCATCTCGTTCAGAGCGATCAAGCCGGTATCTCGTGTTCCCAACCCCACAAGTTGCCTTTGTGTACTGGAGCTCAAAATGTATGGTGCTCAGGGAAAATTCAAAATGATGCGTTGGGATTTTCATATTGATGAGGACGACAACAGACAGAGCAACGAAGGACGATCCAGGAAGATTTGCGCCCGACGACGTTCACCATGTGGATAATAATGGTAGATCAACGACATCACGATTAGGGCAACTGTAGTCGAGCAACCCTCGTCTTTCACAGTGGGATCGATGGCATGGTCTGTAATGCAAATAGTCTTCATGCAGGAGGGCTCCTCGAGCCACATGGCAGGAACTGACGCATTGAACTGAGCAAAACGCGATACAAAGTACACACACTGGTTATCCGGTCTGCATTCGTTCCGAGACCTCTTCATCACAGCTTGAGCTATAATCTCTGACCGATGCACCAGCACCACTGCAGTGTTGCAATAGTTAGTTAGTGGACGAGTGAGCGAGCTTTCGGTCTCTGGATGTTCTGGGCTGCTCGGCAACGTATGAAGAGTCGGCAGCTCATCGATTAGTCTCGTCTATCTGAGCCAGGGGACAAGCGATAGCTAGTGGGCGAGCCAGCAGAGAATCCAGAGCCTTCTTAACACACTTGCACTCTGGAGAACAAATCACTGAGCAACTTCATAATGTTCACGAGAATCAATCCCCGTCAAGCCCAGACGACGGAAGACGACGACCTTTCAAAGAATCAAGCGAACCCCAGACGTCAGACATATTGAATCTCAGGAGCGTACACGGCACAGTGCTGCGCACAAGCGAGCCCACAGGTAAACCGCAGTAAACACTCGAGGCGAGAAAATGCGCCATGACAATGTAAGATCGCAGAGACCAGCTCCAGCTCCAGCTCCATCAGACAGACACACAGACAGACACCTTCAGGTCGCATACAAATCACAAACTGTCCTGTAACGGCTTAATTAACACGCGAAGCGGCTTGGCTGGCTTTGGCGAGGCCCGTTCACCTTTCCGGTAAGCGTCAACGATTCGTTTCGGTACAGGCCATCCTGCGCTGCAAATCAATAAGATCTGGGCCCCAACGTGTCAGAGATTCAGACCAGACCAGACCAGACCACGCCGGGGCCTTTTATCTATCTGGCGAACTTTTAAAAAACAGAATCTTCGCACAAGAAGCGCAGGTGATCCAATGGTCGAACGCAGCGCTGTCTCTCAAGGCGCGGATGCGATTTGAATATTCCACGAGGTAGTAGTGCGCATGTATCTGGTCAGACGCTCGGATTCAAGGCTCACATGAGAGCGTCAGAGCTTTCGTCCTCGACCTCGACCTCTCCCACCGTAAGGCAGGTCTGGGTTTTCGCGCCCTCGTAGTGCACCGCTCAGAAACCTACGACAGGGGATTTTCGGGGTGAGCGAACTCTACCCTAATGCTTTGTGTCTATGCCGTATTATGTACTCTATGATTCACTGTGCTGATTAATTCAATACGGAATCATAAATTTCCATACCGATCCCGTAGTTGTGCTGAGATTCCCTGGAAATTTCAGAAGCAGTCGTTTTAGATTCTCATGACGTCTTTACATTCGATCTGCATCTAAAAAGAAGCACTCTCATATATTCAAGATTTTCTGTGAAATGGCTACGATTTTTCGAACGGCCTCGTTTGATGGACTTTGAGGTTGTAGAGATAAGTCCCCCCATGAAGAATTGGAATTAAAGGCACATGGATGAAAGTGGCGATTGGCTTATGAAGCTAACGTAGTGAATAATGGTCACTGAATTTCTCTTGCACGATGTTAAATGTATGGCATTTATCGAATCTGAGATATGTCGTCTAGATCTTCGTCATCAGTACCTTTCAGCCCATATTCCAGCAATAACGATACATCGAAACAACATGGTCGCAGATATAATGTTTCCAAGATGTGTCAGTCGCCACTTATTTCTCTCCTAGCATAGCACTTTTTCGAGTCACCCATGGTTCTCTGCTTTTGCTCATAATAAAATCGAGCACATTCCAGCAGTAATCTCATGCTAGGCGATGTTGCGCGGGTAATTAGGGCAGCATAAGCTCAATTGCTATATAAACACCACCCACGTTAGCAGCTGCACAGTGGAAAATCCGATTATAAGAATTTAGCTTCTTCCTCTGTTGTTAGACACATCTAGCAAACGAATAAACAAAGTCGTCCAGTAATACGATAGCTGATCATTCGTCAGACATCTCGCTAAAGAACAACGAAGATGGTGCGGCTCTGCAAAGAGGAAGATAGCACCATACGTGGCATCTGGCAATATTGCCATATTATCATCTTATTTCGGTGTGCGTGATATTCTGCGATTAGGGCCATGAATATAGACAACTTACATCAATACTTATTGAATTTGTTGTAACTTTTGTGAGATCTTATCTTGATACACACAAATTTCGAGGGAAGTTGGAGAACACTTTGGGGATCAGGTACATTTCTTTAGCGTGGTGTACATAGAAATCTGTATGCTGTAGCGATCGTACCTTGAAGTTTAATAATAACTTGCGCTCGCTCCCAATTAATATACAAACTCGAGTGCTGAAATTCTTATCAAACAGTTTCCATCAAGCTACTTGTGCATGTACGTAGTGTAGGTGGGATTTTCCGTAAACCGTTGAATAACCTTTTCCTCACTAAAAGTCTAAGAAATGACAGCCCGAGCCCATGAAATGTCAATGCTGACATTATCAACTGTATCCATTTACGAGGTGCAATCCACCATATCCGATCATATCACCGTACTAGCATGTCATCTAGGCATTCAAGAGGAAGCCAAACCAATCAGGCTTTGAAACTTTGTTGAGAAATCTAGAGCAAGTACAAGGAAGGTAAGAGAAATTACTGCTGGCAAAGTACGACATATCACAGCATTCCCCTGTACAGTTGTAGTCGAATCTTCCCGCCTGGTAATATTTCGAGTCTGATCATATCCAAACGGTTTCAGTCGTTATGGTCCATGATTGCATCGACCAGACGGTGGCCAGGGCTACTTTGTCCCAACCTGACTTTGTGCTTCGTTATTGTGAGAATTATTCGACCCCATTTCATGGTACATGACGAAGGATTGTCAGATGATCAGTGAACTCAGACGTGACTCTTGTGCCAATTTCAATTTGAGCTAAACAATGAAGCCACAGGTGCAGAAGATCTAACCATTCCAGTTTCCGGAGACTAGCAACTACGGTAATTGGAGATGGCGGACATCGTCTCAGGCGAGTGTAAGAGAACACTCGTCTTTTGGATCTGAGTCAGATTGTCTAGAAAGAAGGACTGTTGATAAGCTCAGATCTTGCTAGGCGACGAAGGCAAAGGTGACAGCACTGTGCAGCAAAGTGAAATGTTGCTTGTGGTCGGTAAAATTGTGTCATATTTCATCTTTGCGAAGAAAGCTGTCCGGAAACTAACAATAGCCATTTGCCAACCATTGGATCTCGCCATACCATGAGTCAAGAGGTGTCAAGTACAAAAAAACAGCATTTGTCCATACAAGTTGTGGAATTGTGAAGAGCAAGAGGCAAGGAGAACACTGACGGTGCTTCAGGGACAGTGCGAGAGTTCTTCCGGATGCTCCCTTGGTGGCTACTAAGGGTCCAACTGCCATGGTCAATGCAAGGAAGTGATGCACTAATTGGAGGTCAGCGACCATCCCTCGATGTCGACTGTGAGAGGCGTTTCATCGCCGGGCACTTCAAGATCTCTCCACGGTCCACTGCAATAATTTCGAATAACCTCAGACCACTGGACTCCAAGACCAACAACTCGTGTGCACTATTCTGACAGGAATGTGGATTCAACAGGACAAGAGATGGAGACACAATGGACTTACACGACTTGTGAATTAGCATATTGCTTCCGTTTGTACTGTCTTCGATTATTTTGCAAAGTGCGTACATGGTAAGAGAAATTCATTTAATTTCATAAGTTACACTTCGAGAGACAACTGAAATTTACTCACTCTCTGGTTCCTGTGTCTCACCGTGCTCAGAGCTACATTCGTTTCAGGTAGACAGCCGACGTGAAGAGACATAATTAGTTGTGTCACACCGTATTGTGTCCCAAACTACTCCCGAAGAAAGGTTGCAATCACTTCCCCATCTTTTTCGAACGGAGTACAAAAGCGAACTGTACGGCTTCTCAACCTAAAGATCCATGAATACAACAGGAGCTGGAACTACTGTCTCGGACATCGTGAGTTCGGCTCACTCAGGTTGACCGTTCCGACGGCAAAACTGACCTCCAGATTCCCCTAGCGCATGAGTGCTCACTGAATGTACCTAATGTTCCTCCAAGTAGAGAAGTCCCATGGCATGAGGCGTGAGTAATACCTCACCAACAGAATCTGAACTCGAAGACCGATTCTCCACCCAGGCAAGTTAAATGCCTTGACTAGGAGGGAGCCACACACTTTCAATAACATGACACTAAAGGAACAGATTTCTGATTCTAAGCTCTCCAAGGACTTGGTTGACTTGGGACAGAAGACAGTGGTTGCCAGGGGATGTAAGGAGTTAGAGAGGGGCCTTCGTGGTTAATTAGTGCACGAGGCAGGGCTGTAGCCTCAGAATTAGCAGTTGAGAACAGTCGAAGACACCAACCAGGTTTGAGGTATTTCATTGCTGAAGTGGTGGTTGTATGCAGGCACGGTATCATCATGACCACGCATGATGTGGATTTGCAAAATCACCTCTACAAGCATCCAAGGTTTCCTTGACCTACAGAGGTGATAATTTGGGAAGTGGTGACACCGTGAAGGGGAGCAACTCGACCCCGATCTGGCACAAGTTATGCCAAGGCAAGAAGAGGGCTTGCCTAAGGCCAGAACTAAATAGAGAATGAAATCAAATATCTGTGAGAGGAGCAAAGCACTGAATCTCATGAAAACAGTCAACACCGAAGAAGTTGAAGGTTACAGAGACACAAAGCTTCATCTTCGACTGAAGTGACTAGCTCTTTTCCATTCAAAAAGAATGTTGAAAAAAAAGACAACATTCTTTAATCATTACTATGGATGACACAGGCACTCTTCACAGCTCTTAACAGAAAACTTGGACTTTTGACGAGGAAGAAACTGTCGACATCGATCCTGATCTACCTTGTTAGTAGTACTAGGAGTTCAGCAGGCTTCAGAGTCACTGTAGGTGTTCACATGGTGGACTTCCACAGGCATAATGATAGAATAAAGTTACAAGATAGCCCCAGACCTAGTGGCCCCAGAAGGAGGAGCTGCAAAGCTAAACAAAGAATTTTTAGTGCTATCACACAAATGATACGCCAAGTTATCATTGCTCTTTCCAGATCCGACCCGTTACCCTCAGCTTCAACTCTTTCCGATCGCCACCAGAGAAAAAGAGAGCCATATTCCTCTGAATAATCAAGCCATCATGACTATCCCGCACCTTTCTATGACTGTCACGGATGCTCCTTGGCACACCTTGCCAGATCAGTTTTCTACCATTGGCACCAACCTCCAAACTGTAGCTGAAGTTCTTGGCCTCGTTGTCGTCACCCATGAATCGGAGGAAGGCCATATATACAGGTGCCATACCTAGCTGGAAGGCTTCGAAATGGAGACAAAAGTGCTGCCCAAAGCAATTGAATACCTACAATACAGAACTCGAACTCTGTCAACAGAAAGAACTTGTGGAGGCCCTACTCTGGAAAACAACCCAAATTTGTGCGGGCTAAAATATCTCGAACGATTACATCCAGCGACTGTGGATGGGAAAGAGTTATTACCGTTAGCATCCATGTGGCATTCTCGACTTCCTGAGGATTCGATTTAACATATCGGTGGTTGAAGGTACATCCATTGTGCATATCCACCTTGTGTTCATCCCTCAAATGGGCCACTAATGAGGCAATGTCGCCGGTTACTGAACACTCCGATCCGGCATATGGACAATTGTATGGCCTGAACGAGCACTGAGCCTCGTGCTTTAGTTTACTGTAATACGGAAATATTTCTGGGCAACCCAAATTCTGGTATCTGCAAGGGAGCTCCAAAGACTCGGCAACCTTTTCCAAAGCTAAGCACCGTATATTGCCGAGCTCGTATCTGCATGTTGGACATCGATTGTGAACTCTTAACTTGCAGTTCGAGCACAAAGTGTGACCGTTTGGACACTACACAGAGGAACAAAAAGGCTATGTCAGTACTTGTATCAAAACTTAATTAGGATCTCACCAGAAACTATTCCGGCGGAGAACGGGTGAGTATCATTCACCGCTTACACCATCAGTAAACTCTCGAAATCAAATGTTCACTTCCGCGACTGAGCGATAACGGAAAAACGGCGGACCTGTAACTCATCAGAGACCTCAAGACTTCCGTTCTCGTCCTCGTTACAGCGGTTCCGTGAACCTCACAATGTCCGAACTTTAACCACCGTCCGGACTAATGAGGAAACCTCAACAGCAGCTAATGGGATAACATCACATAGCAGTAAGAAACAAAAGAATGTCCACGAACACAACACAGGAAAGAACAGAACTAGACATAAACAAACCTGATGTATTGGAGGGTACATAGAGTTGGTGCAGACGGGGCATTCCAGCAGCTCGTGTACACTACTGGCAGGGGTTGCGCCAGGTTTTCCAGGAGCAGATAAGGAGATTTTGGGAATGAAGATAGACTCCACTTCAGTCACACTAGAAGGTGTTTCACCTTTTCTCGAAGGTGATTCAAGCACCTCTGTACACGTCGTACTGGGAGGTGCCATGATATGGCCACTACTTTTCCTGATTGACCTGCTTCAGACAGGAAAAGCTCAGCCTTCCAGAACTCTATCCTGTGAAATCTAAACCCTTTAAACCTTAAATAGTTTAATGTTGAATTAAGTTCGAGAGGAGCCGCAGAAACTGATCTAGAGGCTCTACTCTTTCAACTGGCAGGTGCTTGCCCTGTAATCACACATTGGCAAACTCTCCCTCACCGACCAAATTCACCTGCCTCCCTTGTCGAGCTAGGTCCGCTTAAAACTCTACATGTATGACGCAACCATGCCCTGACTTGTTCGTGGTGTTCCTTCCTTCTCTTCCTCGTATCGCAATTTCGTGATTAAAGACTCCCTCGAACAAGTACTTTCCACAGCAAACACCACAGGTCCCGTCTGCTCTGAGACTAGACTTTTCTCCATCAACAAATATTTCAACTCATCTGCGACACAGCGTAACTCGTTAGATTCCGTAAGAGAAGAAAGCAGAGCTAAAGTCCAAACAACCTTACTGGCCGCAAGTCAAGACGCTAATCTCTCACAAATATCCACGGGAAGACACCGGGAGCAAGAAGGGTTCCCAATCTGTACTCCGAAGTTTCAGTTCCAAAATGCTGTGCGATAAGGGTCTCCTTCGTTAGGACGGTAAAACGCAAAGTAGCCATGACGCCTTGAGCTCTCGGCATTGGAAGCTGAATACGAGGAAATGGCTTTCAAAAAGAACCTTCAAACCAGAAGCTTCCTCGTGAAGAATCCGAAAGTAGGAATTTATAATACCTTCCTGCTGCTAGTTCTATTCCCTATCTCGACCAGATTTTACGGACATACCAAGCGCCCGTCGCGTAGCAGAGACTCCACTACCACTTCAGTGTTTTCAGCATGATAGCAGATCAACTGGAAAGCCAACGGACAAAACGAGGATCTACATCCTTGTAGAGGGCCAATGTGAAAGGTCCGTTAACGAATCTCTAAAACGGTACCCTCACGCATGTGGTATTTCGCGAACATGGCCACACCTAAAAACCGATTATCGTCAAGGAAACACGACGAAGGACGTTGGCGTGTACATGTAACCTTAAACGGTAGCAGACAGGGCGTAAAGCAAATAGAATGCTGGCACGGATGTGAGCATTCGACCCGTAGGCAGGAGGCAGTGACCCTCGCTATTCGAGCTGTATATGACCTCGAAGAGACAGATCTTCAAGTAGGGCGGCATTTTGAGCGGTTCATACGCTTCATGCTTCCTGAGATGAGGGTGCCGGTTGATGTTGGGGACGCGACATCATCCGGCTACGCTGCTGCTTTTACCACGTTCAAACTAGGAAGGACTTCGGCTAGTATTAGTGGAGTAGCTAGATCCCCAAAAAGGAAAACGCTGACAATAGTGACGACATCGAGCGTCTGTAATCAGTGTACACGACCCACTCTACAAGACCCTTTTCGGCAGTAAGAGTCCATCCTGAAGGACATTGTTACACCAAAAAAGATCTCCCGAATCTGAAATCTTCCAAACGTCTGAAGACAAGAACATTACCGGGAAGGCGCTGGAGTCCACCGAAATGCTATGCTCGTAAACGGACTCCCAGGCGAATCCCAGAAAGACCGACGGCTTGAAGATCCCAGTTGAAGCACTTCTTAGTCATTCCAATCACACCTCGGTCATTTCGAAACTCTTGCCTTCAACAGATTGGGACTGCGTCGAGGTCGGATCTCGGATAACACTCAAAAAATGAACACTAATAAGAGCCTACTACGCCTTCCACCAGCATCATCGGCAAGACGATTTGAGGTACCGCCAAGGATGAAGTCCGCCTCGCTGCAGGCACTCGCAACAAGCTTCACACCGCAACGCAACAAAGCTCCAACACGAAGCTCTGAAATTCAAGAATAGGAACCAATCCACGACTAGCATTCCTCGCAGAAGAAAGGCTACGTGCGTAATCGACAAACTTCCTAGGCCACGCTTCTTCTCCTCCTTCTCCTCTTCCTCCTCCTCCAGCTTCTACTACTTCTCCGTCCTCTTCCAGCTTCTGGCCTCCCCTGTAAGAGCACACCGAATCTCCTCAAGCCTACAACTATAGTAATCCACTACTGGTGCAAAGCTCCGCTATCAAAAGGCTCGCCTCAGATGTGACTCGCTTCGCCCCGAACTCAACACGCAAGGCCAGGTTATCCTGATCGAAAGAAACAACCCTTTTCCTCGCAAATCTAGTAGGCGAGACGGACACACTAGAGCATCCTTCCGCCCTCGGCAGTGACACACCCCGATACACAAGAGCGCATTCCCTGAGGTCCCTTCCCAGGCAAGGGTGGGGAGCAGCGGGCGGGGGCGAGAGCGAAGACCAGGCGAGAAGATGTAAAGAAAGGGGGATCAGCTCCGAACGCGAGGAGGCCCAAAAGCCACCAGGCCGAAGCGAGAGCAGAGGAGAGGAGAGGAGAGGACGGGACGGGGATGCCGGGAAGTGAAGGTGGGGGAGAGAGACTTGAGCGCCGTGGCAACACCACACGAGATGAAAAGCTGGAGCCGCGACTCTGCGATGCTGTCGGACCGGCCCCGAGAGCGCTCTCTCAGGCTACGCTGCTCTCACGCACTCACTCACTCGCTCGCTCGCTCGCACTGCTAAGCTCCGCTCGGGGCCGCGGCTTCGCTCGCTTCCATCCAAGCCTCGGGCTCGATGTTCGGTGGGCAGCAACAGAGGGCGAGCGGGGCAGCGGCCAGGGCATGGCATGGCATGGCGTGGAGCAGCAGGGGTCCCGATGCGCGCTTCCACAGTGGCCGCGCCAGCGGCAGCAGCAGCAGGCAGCCTGGTGGGGAGCCGAGGGCGGCACACATCGTGAGGAGATGCAGCGGAGCGAAGCCCGGTGGAGCGGAGCGGAGCTGGGCCGCCTGGCGGGCTGGCGGGCCCCGCCTCGCCCTCCGCTCCCCCGCTCCCACGATCGCAGCAGCAAGCGGCCAGCCCCTCAGAAACGACAAGCCCGGCCAGCAAAATCCGACTGCCGCTCGGCAGAAGCGCGCACAATCCCATCCGCGCTCTCCGTAAAGCTCTTCTTCCTCTTCCTCTTCTTCTTCGTCTTCGTCCCCTTCCTCCGCCTCCCGCACTGCCGGAGTCCGGACCTCCATCCGTCCAGTCCACCAATGGCTCGCCCCGCTCGGTCTCCGCCTGATCGCTGACTCCACCTCGGCCATCGCCCTCCCTCTGACGTCACGCTGCCATTAGACAACAGACTGCCATCTCACTCTTCCCCGTCTCTTCCCCTTGCTATGCCGTCTCCCCCTGCCCTGCCCCACTGTTCTCTACATTCACACGCGGAGCTCTCGATCCTCCCTGTCCCCTCTCGGGACCATATCCCCTTCCGTCGACTGCTGCTGCTGCAGTCACCGCACCGCAGCGGGGAAGGAACGGGGCGACGAAGAACAGGGAAGGAGGGAGGGAGGCCATGACTCCTCGTGTCCCGGTCCCTTGGTCCTGGTCCCGTCGGCCTGCCTGGCCTCTGGACCTGACAAGCTGGCGGGCTGACTGGCTGGCTAGCAGGTCGGTCTGCCTGTCCTGGGCTGGGGCGCCGCGCGCTGCAGAGAGCCTGCGCTCTCGCGCTTCCCCAGAAACTACACAACAACCCTACCGGATCTTGACGGGCACCGCCTTTCTAGCTGTCTGCTATACTAGTTAGCGAGGGTGGGGGGAGCCCTGTCGTCCGAGGGGCGAACCGTAGAAGAAGATGCTGCTCGATAGTGTGCCGAATGGGTTCGGTTCCTGTGCCACATACCAACCTGGACCATATGAATGACAGGTCACACGGCATTTGTGTACAGGGCTCTACGTGTACCGTATCGGGGCGGCCGGGAAACCTTCGGCAGAAAGGGCGACCGTAGTAGGGACTTCTAAACTTCCGCGGAGTCGGGATTTTCGAAATCCCACCCTGGCCCCCAAGGGAGCCTGTACCGTCTCGGGAGCCTACAGTCCCCGGCTGTCCCGTACATACGTGTCAAGCTGGTGGCTGAAATATCTGCGGTTTGTCATATAATTATTTGCTATTTATTGCCGGAATTGGTTTGAATTTCGCATCACGGGACAAGCGTTGGTCGCCTCCGCCTCGCCTTTCCGTCTCTTCTCCTGCCCTCCCGCGCCCGGCGCCCCGCGGCCCTCCACCCCACACCGCGCTTCGAATTCCTCGTTCACACGAAGTCGAGTGGCTACGGCGTGCCTCGTTGCAGCCCTCGACCAGACGAGAGCGAGAGAGCGAGAGGTCTGTCGGGCTCCATGAGGGCAGGTAAAAGGAGCAGACGGGGAAAATCGGAATTCGACACATGTACACGACATGCGACTTCTCGCCCGGATGATGTGTCCACACCGCCTCGAGAGCCTAATCAATGTGCACAGTAGCGTCCAAAGAAAAGATGTCGCACTTTAGTTTTGAATGTCTCGCGGAACATTTTCCTCTCCGGAGCGAGAAACGCTTTAGCGAGGTCGAAAGCCGGATAATGCAGCGGCTCGCTCGGCTGGGGCTATAATTGCCTCCATGCTTTTTGTTTGTGCTCCGCAGCATAATGTGTACTGTATCGTCCTCGGTTGGAAATCAATGGTACGTAGGAATTGTCAGCTCCGAATTACATTTTTCTCCCCCTGTACCTACAGCCTAGCGGACGGGAGATACTTAGGTGCGATGTCTTTTTCGAAACGTTTTTTCCTTTGTTCTGTGCAGTACAATAGCACAAAGAGATGGGGAAGTTGCGCAAGATGTCACGCCCAGACCTTTTGATTGATATAAAAGTACGAGTAACTTGTAGACAGGCTCAACATGGGAAAGATGTCAGTTCAAGCATGATAGTTCTGTCTACCTCACATGTAGTACAGGCGACCTTTCAAAAGTAAATTCACATAGATGGATTGTAGAAAAGGACTCTTAGCTCGATCAATTTGATGAGAAATTCAAAAGGGTCTTTTGGCACTCGGGGTCTCTGCTGCTTTTTCTTGGGAGAAAAATCTGGTTTGATTGAGAGAAAAGTATTTATCCACTTACAAGGAGGAGCAAACAACGCTGTCAAGTGGAAGAAGGACACAGAGAGATTATGAGTTGGGTCTCGAGGAGAATGAGACAAACATCGTACTTCCTCAGCTTAAATAGTAGTTTAGAGTCCTTCACATGCACTTATCACACGGAGACGCCAAGAGAAAAGGTTCATCGAGATGAATGCAACCATCGTTAATCTCGAAAAAGCTTAAAGTTTAGACGAGAAATGCTGGAGGATCAGGAAGGGAAGAGCTGCAAGCTCATCCAGGGATTCGTAAGGCTTTTCGAGTCCTAGTTTAATTAGTTGAATTACGAATTCAAAGTCAAATCACTGCCTAACGATAGAGCCTCATGCAGAACCCGTACCAATAACAATTCTTCGTTACCGTGATCGGAAGTAGTTTGTGTAGTAAGGGTATGTGGGTGTGGTGCTCGAGTACAGTAGAATGATGATAATGAGTATGTCAGTCAATGATGTACATGACCGAAATACATAACATCAAGTGCTCTCCCACTTGGTGGATTACAAGCTCTGCTGCCTTTACGAAATCAAGGTCGACAACTAGGTCTGCCTCTGAACAAAGCCAACCGATGGAATAATTGCTCGCATTGGGTGCCATAAGTCCACCGTATGGAATGTCACATGGCCTTCTTCACCTTGACTTATCCCATCCGAGTTTTTGGTTGCTTAACCTACAACAACTACTACTGCTGCAACTACACGAATGGACATTACAGTGCAGACATACATGAATCTGGCCACTTCGAAAAGAATCATCCAAGAATGAGTGACCCTCCAAGGACCTATCCCGGCGCCGCACCAACGTTGCGAATTGATGGGACCACCACCGTCTCGACACTGCGGCCCATAAGCAGCTCCCTTTGCAGCAGCAACTAATCTGGCGCGAAGCTTTTTTACCTCGGGAAGGCATTTTCATGAGTCATGACCGTAAACCATGAGGGGATCTGCCACCCAACGAAATTCCTCTTCTTGCGTGGCTGAATGTTCATCGAACCACGTAGATGCCTATCGACCCATCGAAACCGGCGGGAAAGGTCAAAGCCCATGGTTACAACAAGTCACCACTGCTTGCTTTACGGTAGTAATTTGTACGAGCTGATTTCGCTTCTCGTTTATTTTGTATGTGATTGTACGACATGACTCGGTCTTCCCTGGCCGGCTATTCCCTCCATCGGGAAGGCCAGCCTTTGGAACGGGGATTGCCGTACGGCCGGTGGAGACTCGCGAGCCCGGCGAAATTCGCACTTTGTGAAGCTTTCCTGCGACAGCGGCAGATCGACGTCAGACAAAGTGAGGCGAAACCAAATTGCCACAAGGTCCAGTCACGTCACGTCATGACGTCCACTGAGCTGCTTTCTCCGCGACGCCGACTCCATTCACGGACAGAACGGATACTACTGCAAACTTGGGAGCATTTTTATTCTCCTTGTTTTTTACTTCGGAACAGTTCATTCTCATCAATCAGACCACGACCTAACCCGTTTTGACATCGGTTTGCAATTCGGAACAGCGGACATGTGACTTGAACCTTGAAAGGATGCGCGTGCATAAGTGCTCCTTAATTTGGATTCTTTCATCAATCATGTTGCACACTTGTATCGCCTCTTTTATTTTCCCCGACGGCGCCCTGGAAGTTGTACCAAACTGACCCTGATTCTTGTGTTTGTTCGTCAATGAGCTGGAGACTTCACTTCCTCTCCCTTCAGAACTGCAAATAAACTAACAGTGCTCAGCAAGAATCTTGCAGATAATAGGCGTGTGGTGGATTCCGTGAAATGGAGACTGAAGGAGTATGAGGTTGCGCCTAGAAAGAAACGAGGGTGAAAGAAAGAAAGCACTTCTTTCAAAGCCGGACTTCATTAGTATTCCCATTAAACACTGAATGCATGCCAGCTGTGTAACTGGCATTGCACAAAGCTTGGAATGTTATTCTAGACGACAATATGGTAAAAATACACTTCAATAGTGTTTTCTGAAGAGTAACATGGTAGAGATACAATTCGATGCTATTCTCAGAAGACCAAAATGTTCTTTCCCTGAAGAGCAATACTTTGAGGTGTTTGTGTACCATACTGTAATAAATTAGAAAAAACCCCCAAATTTTGCATCACGATTTATCCCAAAACCTGAAGTTTCTCCAATCTGCGATGTACTGTACAGAACGAGAAGTACACCTAAAAACTTATTAGAGAACCCGAGATCTGGCGGGCACAGATTTGAGCATGTACCACCGATCATTGATTTGGAACAACCTTAGTCGAGGAGATTTGATTCAGGTTTGAGTCCACTCCGTAATGACCAATCCCACCTAACCTCGGCCGTAGTTGGCTCTGCAACTATCTCCAAACAGTCGACATCGAAGTGGCAACTTGGGAAGCCTGCGAGAGGACGACAAACGCAATGTCACTCGACGGAGATGAGTCGAGAATAGAAAGTGGAATGAGTTCGGGTGAGCTCCTCGTGACCCTTATCCGTTCGCATTAGCAGGAACTGTGTTTGAATTCAACGCCCAGGACTGACCGCGATCGAACAGCGAAAAGCGCTCCTATTTCCCGTAACTTCTGAATTCAAATTCTTTTCTTGGATGGTAAGTCTAAAGTAAGCGCGATCCACTGTCTGTCTCTCGTAACCTCCGGTCTCGACCCGGTTGAGCTGAACCGGTGCGGTTGAGCTCTAGAAGGGGATCTCGGGCTGGGCTTGAGGGCTTATTCCATTAAGTCTTATTCCGGTCAGAATTCGAGGCCTCGGTGGCCCATGAACCCGGGGTCGTGGACCAACACGGATTGTTCTCGCGCTCTATAATTGGCAGGTCTTTCTACTTGGGTCCTCCGGCCAAATGCCATTATATTTATTCCGGGACCACGTGTGTGACGACACTTCTGCTCGTGATCGAGCTCCAGTTTTCAGTATATGAAAAATGAGTGACTTATTTGACAATTTAATAGCTTATTGGTTTCGTTTATTGGGATGATATTCCAACGTGCATTCTGAAGCGGTATATTCGTAACGGAATCTGAACATTTGATTGTAGTACTGCTTTTATTTTATTCAAGTGATAAGTATAAGAAAGATATCACGATACTTCCTTCTAAATGAACGTAGCCTCTACATGTGATCGATACAGACTCCATCAGATGATTCGAAGCCTCACATGAACATGAGAAAGGTAGAAGGACGGTAGTAATGATGAATGAGATAAGTGAGAAGATGGTGGAAAGACGTTTTCTGGCAAAGTCTAACGATGTGAACACAAGGCTCTTAATATGATAAACTATTGAAACAAAAGGCAGCTTATTGTGTACCTAACCGCAAAGAATCATCACACACTTAATGTTCAAGTCAACGAAGTGGGTTTTAAATTTATAAGTTTTGGTCGAGCTAAAGGCCCTCTGCCCCATTCGGAAATCCAAACGTCCGAATGGTTCACCGGGATTGAGTGAAATAACGCTGGATATATTATTGAAGTTATATTTTACTCCTTCATAGTTACGTAGCTGCCACATATGAGATAAAACATTATTGTTATTTTCTTATGCTGTTTTCACTGAATCGAAAAGGAAAAGAACGTTATACTGTGACTGCTAGACTGACTCGCATGATATCGTCGTCGAAGTTTGCCAGGACATCACTGTATTCACGCCCATGCCATACTGCTAAGACCCCTCATCCATCGCTTTCTTGGGGTCCTGCAATTTGGAAGAATATTTATTTATCTATCAATTTATTTATATATTTTGAGTAATATTTATCATAGAATCCTGAAATATTTCCTTTCTTACGAATCTGAATCAAGATCAAATAGTATGGGTGGAATTCTTATGACTTTAGTCATTTGTGCTCACGCTGCATGTATTAAAATTTCACTTTTCGGAGAAGTAGGTCTTGAATGTTGGAAGAGGAATCTCCGCCCACACTTGGTGAAATTCGTATCATTGACCTTTAGTTAGTGAGACGCTTTTAGACTTGCTTCACATATTCTTCGTTCACATCTCTCAAAGAAAATATCAAAACACACAAGTCTGATTCTAGTTTTCCATATCTTATCTAGTGTGATCTACATCAATCACAATATGTACACTAAGAGGGATGCATATGTATGAAAAGAGTACATACGATTAATGTAGATACCTCGTCAAGGTATATAAATTAATATTGATCCCTTAATCAATAAATAAATCTACTTTCTTACTATGCTTGAGCTTTTCTTGTGTGAGGTGCAAGTTTGATGAAAAATCTTAATAAAAATCTCTGCATATACCAAATTCATGAATAATCATGCACAAAAATATAAGCTCCAGTATTCATATTTCATCTTACGATAATTTGAATTAAAAATCATATCTGCATCTATGATCCTCTAAGTTGAACCTCTCTTTTATTCAAATTCTTTCCTGAAATCAGTAGTGCTTTAAAATCACATATCAAAACAAATGACAAGTGGATTGTAAAAGATATGTCATCAATTAAATTGTGATAAGAAATTCATTTAATTTCAACCCACAAAAATGATAGAGAACTAATCAATTTAGTTCAATGACTGTTGCATTACAACCGAGCTCAACTGTCTTGCTTTTTTTAGAAACAATCATGTAATAAGGGTGTTTAAGGTCAATCTTAAAGTAAAATATTCACACAAAATCATATATATGTAATTTTCTTGTTACTCATACAAGTCAAAAAGATATGTACAAGGACTTGATGTCTTTCAAAATCTTAATATGAGTGATGTAATTTATTATGGTTTGGAATGATTATAATGAGATTATTTGATTATTGGTTTAAATATATTGGGGTTTGATATACATGTAATGTCAATATACTTGATCATTACCCGAAATATGCTTCAGATTTATATGAAAAGACCCATTTTACAAAAATAATAATCTTGCAAGTTTATATTCTTCTTTGAAATATCCTCAAAAAATCACAAGGTGTATAATACTACATTTTAACAACTTATATATATATATATATATATATATATATTTTGCTATATATAGTTGTTCAATTTTTATTTCTTAAACTTATTTAATATCAAAATACATTTTCCTATACAATAAGTTTTAGGATAAAAAAGTTTTTAATTTGTACATATCGTCTTTTTATGAAAACCTCACACCACACAACATCTACAGGTCTTTGAAAGATAATTGGAACTCAAATAATGCAAACGGTTATTATAAAGATGAATGTATTATCGATGATATGTTTGATTATAATATATGTGATTTTGTTCTTCAACTAAGAAATATTTATATATATAGGATGGTAGTTCATATAATTCTGTAGTATATATTATCAATAAGAAATCATATTAAAGAACTAACTCACAGAGTTTCACGATGTTACGTTACGTTACGGTCTATTTATTCTTAATCACTGATAGAACTTTGGAATAGAACACAGTTAAACAGTATTCTTGATCTTTAGATTTATTAAACGAAAATCATACATGCATGTTTTTGGTGATAAGTTTCTGTTGAGATTCGTCATTGATTGCTTCTAAAGGTCTGAAGCACGGTCCCCGCAACAGTGCTCCAAAATTACTGGACTGTTGAATGCGGATCATTTGTCGATCAAGCAAATGATTGAACTCATATCAGATGTGCGCACAACTCGCAGTCACAAAACTGACCGTCGATGGCTCAGAGCCCAGCCATAAGTACGATCTTACACTACATTACAGAAATGCAGAACACATAAGGCACCTTATACAAAGTCCGCTATCACGCTTGCCTTACAGGTGAAGCGTTTTCACTATTATTGACAAAGGAGACAAAGAGCTTTGCATTTGAGTACGAATCTCGTCACAATGCATTAAAACGCTGGAAATGGGGTTAGAGACCTTTGTAAGATCCGGCCCTTAAAAAGCTATACAGGAAAGTGCGGAATTATAAAGCAGAATTTTTTAAAATATGCATCCGCAAAGCTTAAGTATAAATTGCCGAATTTTAAAAGAATACAATATAATTCGCTGAGATGTAAGACTCACTAACGAGGGCAAATAAAGAATTTTCCCATGGGGAATCGAATCTGTACCATACCAAAGAAAGAAACGATCCGTAACTGGTAGACCTTTGTCTTTATGGTTGGTCCTGCAAGATCAACGGAGAACCACTGGATACAAGCCAGATCCAGTGAGTAGAAAGGCGCGGCAGAGGGTAAAGGGCGTCGAGAGCAGAATCTCAGTAATTCCAAAATGTGGCACACAATAATAAAAGAGCAAAAAGCAGCTCCGTAATTAAGTAACTCCGATTCTTGTCCGATGGGCGCGCGCGGGCGGGCCAGGCTCTTCATCCACTTCGCTATCCATCTAGATCTGGCAGCGCCCGACTGTCAGGACGCCCCCCTCCTTTTAGGCTATGGCCCTCGCCCTCGTCCTCGTCCTCTCCCTCGTTACGCTTCGCTCGCTCGCTGCGTGCCTATCTTCGTTATTCTTTTGCTTAGGGAGGGAATGGCGATATTCTCGTCTCCTTTGCTGCGGGCTCTAGGTAGGTGCTCCTTCGTGTGCTGAACTGTGTTGTGTTGTGCTTTGCTTTGCTCTGCTTTACTTTCTTTTGTCCCGTTCTTTCCTTCTTGGACCTTTTCGCTGGCACGGACTTCTCCGGTGGGCCATCGCTTTCGACAGCTCGGAGCGACGGAGAATAGAGAGCTTTGGGAAATATTGAGTAGATGTAGTAGTAGTAGTAGTAGTAGTAGTACGAGAGTGAGTGATTGAAGAGTGCGTTGCGTTGCGGATCGGGTCTGGTCGGGTCGGTTTGATTCGATGATGAGCTGTGGTCTTCAATGAGGAGCATACGATAGGTGCTTCATCTATGCAGAGTTATGTTCGTTGCTTCCCACGTATAGTGTAGAGTATGCAATACGTAATGCATGTGGTGTTGTGTTTTGATTTTGTGTGTACGGGATCCGGATTTTGGATCATGTCAAAGAAGATGGGAAGATCCTCGAGAGATTTGGGTGGTTTCTCGGCGTAGAAAGTGTGTCGCAGTTGTCTTTAACGTTCATTTTCTGCTCAGCCGTCTCGTTCTCTGCCATTTGTCAGAACTGGAAGGCTGATATGTTGAGAATTCGATTGACGGAGTAGTAAACTGAAAAAGTGGTTAACTAGATTGAACAATGTATGCCTCCTAACTTACATGATCGATAACGTCTGTATTTGTATCGACCAATTTTACGTTGTTGAAATTTTGACGGAACACAAGTATTGTACGCTATTGTGGTACTGTATGTTTGTTGGCGACCATGACACAAGAATCCGAAGTATTCGTTCACGAAGTTTCCCTGCTCATGATTCTACTCATCATTAGGAAGACTTTATTACCTGCTAATCTTCCTATGGAAGATAATGATGGAGTTTTGGGTTTAAACCTCGTAGTACACAGTTTTTAAGTATGAAAACATTTATCATGATCATCGATCTTGCTAAGTACTCTTTTGAACCTTTTCCAGACGTATGCGAGGAGCTAGTAATACTCAAAAAGGTTTGAATACCTGTCAATCCTCACATG